CTAAACCCTAAACCTAAACCCTAAACCCTAAACCCTAAACCCTAAACCCTAAACCCTAAACCCTAAACCCTAAACCCTAAACCCTAAACCCTAAACCCTAAACCCTAAACCCTAAACCCTAAACCCTAAACCCTAAACCCTAAACCCTAAACCCTAAACCCTAAACCCCGAACCCAATTCCCCTAGAGTTAGGGTCTAGAATACAAAATACCCTAAACGTCTCCTGATTTGTTTGAAAGTGAAATGTCTCCAGAGCCACTCATCGTGTCACACCGAGAGTCCAACGACCTTGACAGTATTTGTAATTCATCACTTTGCGAGATAGCCAAAGCAGCCCCCCTCGATCCCTCATGACAAACACGAGAAGAGTATTGATCTCCATCAATACCCCTCGCCCATCCATTCAATTCGAGTGTCGGAAGTCCGCGATTCGATTTCTTCGCCGCGTCGACGCGTTCATATTCCCCACGAACAGTTTTCAAATACACTCCAATCAAGTTGAGATGCTTGACTTGCACTTGCGCCAAAATCCTTCGTATCGAACTTTTGCTCACCAACCGGAGATGGAGAGTTGTGCTCAGTCTTGGCGCCAGCCGCATCGTTACCCTTGGCGTTCCAGAACTTGTACACGCCAGTGACTCCGCTGGGGAGAACGGGTGCGATTTGCCAGTGGAACATGTCGGACTCCTCGACGTTCTTCACATTGGACGAGTTGAACTGCCAGGCGATCTTCGCCCACTTACCAGCGACGGTGTGCGTTGACGGTGATGCGGTGCGCACCTTGCCCTTGTGCCACGCGTCGCGATCAGTCGTGGCTGTCGGCACGGCGTAGCCGTACAGTTGACCAAACTCGAGACCGTTGCGCTCGAGGAACGTGCACGAGGCGCCGCACTTGGTGCCGTCAGCCTTGTAGCCCTTGCGTCCGACGTAAATGCGCGCGGGAACGACGTTTTGCGGGTACACCCAGTCGTTGCCATCCGGGCGCTTCGCCGCGATGGCTTTGCGTCGGTCGACGATGGCGGTCTTCATGGCATCGCCACCGAAGATGCCGTTGTAGCCGGAAGGAGAGAAGCACACAAAGTCTTCGTGGCCGCAGTTGAATTCGACAACCTTTTCGAAGCCGCCTTGACCGAAAGCGCCGGTCGCGTACAGCTTCTTCGAGGCGATGTCGATGACGTGCGCGGTGAGACCGGCGAAGCCGTGCGTCGCAGTCTTGGTCGCATCGAGATCCGTCCATTCTTCAACGGTGACCCACATGTCGTTTTCAACGCCGTACGTGACGCCGGAGGCAGAACCGTACCACTGTCGCGCTTCTTCGAGGTGAGACGAGCAGAAGGAGTGGAACGTCCACGCGTTGGAGGCAACCGCCTCGGCGTTGGCGATGTCTGAAGTAACGTAGTGACCGTCGACGGACGTGTCACCCAAGTGGGCGCCCACGGTGATTTGGTTCGTGCCATCGCGCTTGACGACCATTTCGCCCTTCATGTTGTAGACTTCAGTGAACAAGGACCCAGCTTCTTTCACGGTGGGAGCCGCGCTGACGGCGTTTGAATCCGCCGTGGTGGCGAAATCGTACGAGAGCTTGGTGAGATCCGACGTGGAGTATGCAGCCGCGGTGGTCGGCATGCGGTAGTCGATGTACGACACGTGCGAACCGGTGAACTTGGCGCCGTTGCCGTTCACGGGCATAAACCACGATCGACCACCGGAAAGGTAGCCGTAAGATTCGGCTTGGAAAATGACGCGAAGCGTGTCGATGTCCTTGCGCATGACGCCGAGACCGTCCGGCACGCCGACCGGCACGTAGCCGGTGTTCGCATCGGCCTCGCCGATGGTGAGAATCGGCGCGAGCGGACCGAAGCCCCAGTCAGTCTTACCATCCTTACCGTCGCCAATGTACTTGAATTCAGGGTTACCGGCGCCGTCGGAGGCGTCGCCGGATTCCGCCAGACGCGCCGTGTGCCAGCCGATCGGCTTCACCTTGGCCGACCACTCAGTGTAGTGGTCATCGATGGCACCCACGACGGATGCATACGCGTGTTGCAACCACGGCTGCGCGCCGCTGTGATCAACGTTTTGATCGCGCGCCGACGGCGGTGGAATCGGCGGCGCCGGCGGTGGCGTCACGTACGGCGGCGGCGGACTCGGCGGCGGCGGCGGGCTCGGCGGCGTCTCGCAGGTCGTCCCGGACCAGTTGTCCACGCACACGCAGAACCAGTTGGTGCCGTCGAAGCGCAACTTATCCCCGCCGGGGGGCATGCACTTCGGGGGCGTCAAAACTAAAGCTGTGGTGTTCAGAGCGTCGACGCGTCCAGTCAATTCAGTGTCTTTAGTTTTCAACTCTGTATTCGTGGCGTTGAGATCATCCAACCGACTCTTCAATCCATCATCCGTGGCGTTCAACACGTCCAATCGATTCGCCAACCCTTCGTCCACGCGCTTCATCGTCGCGTCCGTGTCGTTCAAAGACGCGATCAACGCCGAGACGTGCGCGTCCACGCGCTGCGACTCGTTCCTCGACGACTCCAACGAGTCGAGTCGAATCGACAGACCCGCGTCCGCGCCCTTGAGCTCGTACTGCGTCGCGTTCAGAGTGTCGACGCGCGACCCGAGGGTGGCGTCCGTGACGACGAGTTGCTTATCGGTGAGGTTGAGCTCGTGAATGTACACGTCGACCAAGGCGTCGATTCGGCTCGATAACCCTTCGTCCACGCCCTTGAGCGCGGCGTCGGTGGCGTTCAGGGACGCTACGTGCACACTCAGCTCGGCGTCTTTGGTTTTCAACTCTGCGTCCGTGGCGTTGAGATCATCGATGCGTCCACTCAACGCGGTGTCTTTGACCGCCAACCCGTCGACGCGCTGCGAGATCCCGACGTCGCCGTCGTAGCAGTACACGTCGCCGTCCACGCGAACCTTTTGAGACTTTAGGACGATTTCAGAGCCCGCGCCCGAGCTCTCGAGATGGACGTCGCCGTCGTCGTTCGACACCGTGACGCGACGAACCGTCGAGTCCTTCGTCACCGGCTGCGATTGGAATACACGCGCGTCGAGTCGAAGTCAGTCGACGCGTCGAGTCCGCGGTGTGCGCGAGCGGAGCGTCGGGAAAGACCCTAGAATGAGATCTCGTCGCGTTTGAATTTTAGCCTAGCACGCACCCATCGAACGGCTTGCGCGCGCGCCGCGACGGCGAAGAGCAGCGCGAGCGCCGACGTCGTGGACAGCACTCTTCGCCATCGCGTCGACGACCCCGCGGCCCGCGATGACGTTCGAACCCGACGTCGAGGACGAGAACGATCGGCGTCGGCGTCGGCGCGCGGGGGCGCCTCGCGCGTCACCGCCGCGACGCGAGACATGGCGACGCGCGTGATCGACATCAGTGGTACGCGCGCGACGATCGTGACCCTCGAGCGACGCGTCGATCGCGTCGACGTCGACGCGGCGCACACAATTGTGACGATCGGATCGAGACCGAGATCGGGGGAATGTGCCAGAGTGGCACGCCGCCCGGCGCGGTCGCTGTTTCGGACACGGGACTATCCACCACAAACTACGGGGTAGGTATTCCTGGAGAGTGTACGGAGACAAAAGCGACGCGTATACGTCCTCTGTGTGTGTACTTAAACGTACGATTGATCGCCATCGCGCGCGCGTTTTCGCACGAGAGAATATTCCAGAATCTTCTAAACCAGCGTCGGCGCTGTCTATCGCGTGCGAGACTCGCCGTGATTTCTTCTCGCGCGCGATTCATCTTCGTTCGGCGTCGGCGTCGGCGTCGAGACGTGATGCCGTCGGTCGCGCCCCCGTGTTTTCGAACCAGTTTCGGGCGATCGATCGATGTCTCGCGTCCATCATCTACTTACTGTTTGTCTACACACACGATTCTGTACACCGACAATGTCGGTAGACCGACCGCTCATGGATAAAAAAAATCCTCCGGAACCCATTCACGGTATCGAGTCATGACTCGTGATCGGGTAAGAAAATGCTCCGGGGTGCGTGCGTATGTGCATACAGTCAGGAAAACGCACCGCGGCGACGGATGTCGATGTCGTCGCCGCCGAGCGCTCGCGCTCGACGCGACGCGAGCGCCCACGTCGACGCGGGCGCCGGACGCATCGCGTTCGGTGTTTCCATTCGCCCTCGTGCGCGACTGAAATTTGTTCATCCCCGAGCGCGCCCGCGAACGGATCGATCGATCGACCGACGATTCGTTCGAACGAACGGTCGAATGATTCGCGCCGACGGACGACGCGCGCGCACTCGCGGCGTGTCCATCCTACCGACGATCGGTTCAACCGTCGCGGTTCCGTACCCCACCGCCGTGTACGCGGCCGTGCCGTCGTCGCCATCGCGCGTGCGCCTTGTGCACGCGCAAGCACGGCTCGCACGTCTTCTTGTCCTCCTGGAAGACATCGGCGCGCAGGGTCTTCTTACAGCTCGAACAGTATCGCGCCTGCGTGCGTGAAATCGGTTTCCCGTGTAACGCGCACGTGCGCGCGTCGACGCGTTCGAACGCGGTGTCGTCCCACGCGAAGGCTTCGAGCGATGCGTCGAACACCGAGTCGTCCACGGCGATGACGCCGACGTCGCTCACGCCGCGAAAAGGCGCGGGATACGGTGCGCACACGACACGGCGCGGTGGTGCGTCATCCCCGTTCGTTTCCTCTACGTCCGTGACGCGTCGTTTCTTCGACATCGCGCCCGCGCGTCGGGGAATGCGTGAACGGAGGAGACCGACGCGCGTCTGAAGTCGCCTCCGCGAGACTGAGCTAAAGACGTATTATATCACTCATTGGAGCATAACGATACCTATGACATCTGAACACGACGAATCCCCGCGCGCGTCGACCGCGATGGGCTCGAAGAAGAGCGAACACAGCGTCGCGCACTTGCATCGATACCGCTCGGTGACGACGGCGTCGATGTCCGCGTCGGCGCGCGTGTACCCGGTGTCGTTCCCAGACCCCAGATGTGAGGTGCAACTCCTTGAGGCTATACTTCCACATCCGGCTCGTACACGTACGGCTGCGCGTCCTGGAACCACCACTCGCGCGTCGACGAATGTAGTAGCCGTTGGGGATCGTTTACGCGTTTACGATTCATAACTCAAAACATACCCCCTCGATTCCCAAATGCGAAAAGCGTCTTGAAAGGGGGCCGCCGCATTCGTCGCCGCGTCGCCGCGTGCGTCGCCGCGTGCGTCGCCCTCGACGTCACCGAGCGGTGCTCGTTCGTTGGTGTCGTCGCGAAGATCGAAGCGATCGAGCGGGGACAGTCGCGCGACGGTCAAAGCCGAAGAACTGAATCATTGAGTTCATTTTCACGCGGCGAACGACGGGCGTACGCGCGCGACGACGCGTCGGAGGGAACACACCGCGCGACGCGAATCGTCGTGAACGAATCGCGGTCCCGCGTGTGCGCGTCGATGCTCTATGCACACACGTCCCGGAAGAGTGCGCGTGCTTGACGCGCGTGAAATGAACGACGCACCGAGCGCGCGGACGACGGTCGCGCGTTCGCGTCTCCATCTAACTCGAGATCGGTTCGACGCGCGCGCGCGTCAATCCAAAGTACGCCTGATGTCCCATGTCGTTAATAGTAGTCGTTATCACGAGGTACACCAACGTGTCGTCAACGTGCGCTGTGAAACCCGCATAAGACCAGTGACCAGTCGCGATGACGCGCACCCGTGCGTGCGTGTCGTACGATGCGAAGACGTATGTCTTTTCCACGGACGCGCCCGCGCCGAGCACGCCCACGCCTCCGAGCGTCCATACGTTTCCACACGACGCGCACGGTGTCGAACCCGATTGCGCACGCGTCGACGAACGAAGAACCGGTCGGGCACGCGCGTCGGGATGCGTTCCAAGGCTGCGAGTTCGCGCGGCGGGGGGATGACGCGAACGCGAACGCGCGCGGATCCATCGACGAATATCGGCGTCGCGCGTCGACGCCACGATGTGCGCGATCGATGCGTGTCGGTTTTCACATCGTTTGTTAGCGCGCATGTTGTCGTCGTGGGGTCGACAGAACGCGCGCGAATCTGTGACGATCGCGGCAACGCGGCCCGTCTCGACGCGTTTTGAGCGGCGGATCGGCGTCACAGAGAGATCGGCCGCGTCGAAAGCCGCGCGCGCGATCGGGTCGTTTTGTATGTCGTAGTATCGGTATTCAAAATCGTCTCGAGCACGCGTCGCTCGACCGTGCGCGCGCTGCGCCGAGGAATGAGAAGCGCCCGAGCGTTCGTCGTCGCCGACAGACTTGACTGACTTCGATGTACGCATCATTGTGCAGGAATGTACGAGTACGTCCGTAATCCACGTCGCTTGGTCACGCATCATTTGTGTCACTCGCCGTAGTCTCAGGATGACGAGAGCGCGAACGCGTACGCCGCACCCGCGTCTGCCGTCGTGCTATTTCGATCCTTCGCGTACGCGCCGACGACGATCGTTCCGTCAGAGATACCGACGGCGGAGCCGAAGTAATCGTTCGATCCTGCGTCTGAAGCAGCCGAGAGCTTGTTCGTGCGCGTCCACGTGGTTCCGGAACGCGTGAACACGTACGCGCTACCGCTGTTGGATTGACCGTTGTCGTCATCTTCGTGCGCCCCGATGACGATGGTGTCGCCCGACACGCTCACGGATTGGCCAAAATAATCGCTCGAGCCAGGATCGGACGCCGTCATCTTCGCCTTTTGGACGTACCGCCATCGTCGATCGGGTGTGGGGACGTCCCACTTGGACATGAGCGCCGCGCGCACGCGCGCGCGGTCGGCGTCGGATAATTTGGCGTTGAAAACCAAAACTTCGCCGATGAGATTCGGGACGTGGTGACCGTCGAAAGCGGCGCCGCCAAGCATGACATTCGTCAACGAATTCGCCGTGTACTTGCCGCTCGTTTGGAAATCCACCGCACTCGTGCCGTTGTCGACGTCGACGAAACCGTCGCTCGAGCCAAAGTACACGTCGGCGACGTGCCACGCGTCGTACGACGCGTTGACGCTCGCGAAAGCCGAGCCGTCCGACGCGCTGAGACCAATCTTATTCGCCGCGCCCATCTGAGACGTCCCAAAACCATAGCTCCCAGTCGAGCCTGTCGCGTGGGTGAAGATCACACCTAGCTCTGCGTACGCCAAGACGCGATAGACGATGAAAACCTCGGGTTCCGAGCCTCCGTCGGCGGTAAACTGCAGGTACTGCCCATTCGCGGTGAAGTTGATGGCGTTCAATCCAGCCTGGACGTGTCGCGCGTACGTCGGTGACCCGACGACTTGTACGTCCGTCGCTTTGCCCGTCGCGTCCGCGAATGAGGTCACGACGTCGCCCGACGTTTCCACCGTTTCGGAAAAGTCGAAACGATGCGCCAGACTGGATGGGTACGCCGTCGCCGCGCACGAGCTCGGCGGACCGTCGTCCGCGTCGTCACACGTAAATCGCGCGTTGTGCGCCGTCGCGCCCTTGAACATGTCGGTGAGATTTGCCCCGCTCGCGATGCGCCAACTCGTGAGGTTACGACTAAACGTCGTCGCGCCGTTGAACATGTTGGACATGTCGCGGACGTTATCGACGACCCAGGAGGAGATGTCGCGATTGAACGCCTTGGCGTTTCGAAACATGTCGTCCATGCGAATCGCTCGCGAGGTGTCCCATTTGCTCAAGTCTTCGTTGAAGAACTCGCGATCGGCGAACAAATCGTGCATGTTGAGCAAGCCCGTGGTGTTCCACGACGAGATTGGCAGTCCCGCCTCGCCGCACTTGTCCAGACATTGACAAGATCCGTCGAACGCCTCTTCGAAGCACGCGTCCACGGCTTGCTCCAGGGCGACGGAGGAGGAGAACGGCGTGACGTAACACGCCGACGGCGGGCCGTCCCGGTCGTTCGGACACTTGAAACTCTGCACGAAACGCGTATCGCGAAACATCGCATACGTGTACACGTCGGAGGATACGTCCCAAGATCGAATGTCACGGTTAAACGCATACGCGTACGCGAACATTTCGGACATTGAAGACGAGCTGTAGCAATTGCCCCACTCATCGCATGTTCGCGTCGCCGTTCCCCGGACGTCCCAACTCGTGATATCACCGTTGAACTGGCGAGCGTAACGAAACATGTACGCGAAGTTCGTCACCGCGCTCACGTTCCAGTTGTTCAAGTCTTGGTTGAACGAGTACGCGCCGCGGAACATGTAAGACATGTCCTTCACGTTCGAAACGTCCCACGACCCGATCGGTTGATTGAATCTACTGTCCCAAGAATAATAATCGTAAAACATGTTAGACATGTCCGTCACGCTCGAAACGTCCCACGACCCGATCGCTCCATTGAAGGCCCTCGCGTTGTAAAACATTCCCGCCATGCTCGTCACCGCGGACGTGTTCCATCTCGAGAGATCTTGATTGAAACCCTCCTTGTCCTTGAAGAGTTCACGCATGTCCGTGACGTATGACGTGTCGAAATCCGATATGTTGCGTCCGTCGGTGACGTAGCCACACGGATCGTTGTACGTGCACGTACACGCGCCGGAGCTGCTCCTCGCGATGCACGCCTCGACGGCGAGACGTAAAAGCTCGTTGGGCGACGCCGGATCGGGCGGCGGACTCGGCGGCGGGTTCGGCGGCGCCGGCGGCGGCGTCACGTACGGCGGCGGCGGACTCGGGCTCGGCGGCGGGCTCGGCGGCGTCTCGCACGTCGTCCCGGACCAGTTGTCCACGCACACGCAGAGCCAGTTGGTGCCGTCGAAGCGCAACTTATCCCCGCCCGGGGGCATGCACTTCGGGGGCGTCAACGCCGAAGCCGTCGCGTTGAGATCATCGATGCGTTCGCTTAACACGGTGTCTGTCTTCTTCAACTCGGCGTCCGTGGCGTTGAGATCATCGATGCGTCCACTCAATGTAATGTCTGTCTTCTTCAACTCGACGTCCGTGGCGTTGAGATCATCGATGCGTCCAGTCAATGTAATGTCTGTCTTCTTCAATCCATCGTCCGTGGCGTTGAGCGCGTCGATGCGTTCACTTAACGCGGTGTCTTTCACCGCCAACCCGTCGACGCGCTGCGAGATCCCGACGTCGCCGTCGTAGCAGTACACGTCGCCGTCCACGCGAACCTTTTGAGACTTTAGGACGATTTCAGAGCCCGCGCCCGAGCTCTCGAGATGGACGTCGCCGTCGTCGTTCGACACCGTGACGCGACGAACCGTCGAGTCCTTCGTCACCGGCTGCGATTGGAACACACGCGCGTCGATTCAAAGTCAGTCGACGCGTCGAGTCCGCGGTGCGCGCGAGCGGAAAGTCGCGAAAGACCTAGAATGCGAAAGACCTAGAATGAGATCTCGTCGCGTTTGAATTTTAACCTAGCACGCACCCATCGAACGGCTTGCGCACGCGCCGCGACGGCGAAGAGCAGCGCGAGCGCCGACGTCGTGGACAGCACTCTTCGCCATCGCGTCGACGACCCCGCGGCCCGCGATGACGTTCGAACCCGACGTCGAGGACGAGAACGATCGGCGTCGGCGTCGGCGCGCGGGGGCGCCTCGCGCGTCACCGCCGCGACGCGAGACATCGCGACGCGCGTGATCGACATCAGTGGTGCGCGCGCGACGATCGCAACCTTCGAGCGACGCGTCGATCGCGTCGACGTCGACGCGGCGCACACAATTGTGACGATCGGATCGAGACCGAGATCGGGGGAATGTGCCAGAGTGGCACGCCGCCCGGCGCGGTCGCTGTTTCGGACACGGGGCTATCCACCACAAACTACGGGGTAGGTATTCCTGGAGAGTGTAGGGAGACAAAAGCGGCGTGTATACGTCCTCTGTGTGTGTACTTAAACGTACGATTGATCGCCATCGCGCGCGCGTTTTCGCACGAGAGAATATTCCCAGAATCTTCGAAGCGATCGATCGATGTGTCGTCCATCATCTACTATTGTACTGTTTGTCTACACACACGATTCTGTACACCGCGCGACCGACCGTTTATGGATAAGAATTTCCTCCGGGACGAATCTTTGGCGTATCTTTTTTCCTACCCCTGTATATCTTCGAGTCATGACTCGTAAACTGTACACCGCGCGACCGACCGGTTGTGAGAAAATGCTCCGGGGTGCGTGCGTATGTGCATACAGTAAGGAAAACGCACCGCGGCAACGGAGGTCGATGTCATCGCCGCCGAGCGCTCGCGCTCGACGCGACGCGAACGCCCACGCCGACGCGGGCGCCGGACGCATCGCGTTCGGTGTTTTCATTCACCCTCGTGCGCGACTGGAATTTGTTCATCCCCGAGCGCGCCCGCGAACGAATCGATCGATCGACCGACGATTCGTTCGAACGAACGGTCGAATGATTCGCGCGACGCGCGTCTGAAGTCGCCTCCGCGAGATTCGTATTATATCACTCATTGGCGCATAACGATACATATTACATCTGAACACAGCGCACGACGCTCTCTACATACTACCCGAGCGATTCGCACGACCCGACGAATATTTCTCGCACGCGAAGTCGCTCTAGGCGTGCAGCACATCCGCACCGAGTTGACGGGGACGCCCTTTTTTCGACTTCACGTTGGCCGCAGCTTTGAGTATACCAATCGACGGATCTCTCGCGGTGCTTTCGCATCGTTCGATTTCAGTGAGCGCGAGCGCGAGGACGTCGACCACGTCCGAATCGCGCGTCGTCGCCGAATCCTTCGCGGTCAAGCTCGACGCGACGGTTTGCTTCGCTTTGCCGCACCAAGCGATGAAAGTTTCCACGGCGTCGTGCGCTGCGGTGAAAGATCGCTCCGTCGCGTCGAAGTCATTCCTCAGCGTCGCGCGCGCCATTTCCTCGTTGTGTCGCCGGACGTCCGCGACGGCGGCGTCCCACTTGTTCTTCGACAAAGCGATCGCAACCGCCCGCCACGGTTGAGTGAACGCTCGCACGCGATGCATCGTCGCCGTCGAGCGCCCAACGAGGGCACTTTGAGCGACGCGAAGTATGGTTGACTCCACCTCGGCGAGCGACTCGTCGTCCACGCTCACGGCGAGTTTCTCGCTCTCGCTCTCGCACCAGTGTACAAAACTCAGAGTCGCCGCGGCGGCGCGCGCGACGGCTTCGGCGAAAGCCTCGACGTCGCCTTCCGCGACGGCGCGGTGCATCGAGCCGAGGCACGCATCGCCGCCGAGCGTTGACATCAAATCCTCCGCCTCGCGCTCGCCGAGTCGATTCGGAAGCGTCTGCACGGCGCGCTTGAGATTGTTAATCTCATTCGCGACGCGAATGAGCTCCTGAACTCGCTCGGCGTCGGCGTACTCTCGTGCGAGCTTGACGAGCTCGTGTATCGCGCGCTGATGCGCCGATATCATTCTCGTGAGCTCGAGCGACGACGAAGATGCATTCTTCGCTTCCTCGGGGTTGGAGACGGCGTCCATTTCAGCGCTCGCGCCATCCACGAGTTTGAGCGCGGCGCGTATGTTGGCCCCCGCGGTGCCACTCGGCGCGTCCTTGGGGTTGATTCGATTCGCGCTCTCCATTATCCCTCGCGCGAGCTCGAGCATCGCGCGATTTCCTTGTCCAGAAGCGGCGCGCAGCATGATGGCGTCGCGCGTGGACTCGTATCGCGCCTTGAGGCGATTTCTCGCTTTCACAACCTTTGCCTTGAGCGCGTGCAAACGCGTCTCGTCACCCTTCATCGCCAGCTCCAGCATGCGTTCGGACGTTCGCCGGCGCGTAACCTCGGAATTTTCGCCGTCGACACCACCAACCTTGCGCTCGCGTAAAACGGACAGACGCTCAGATATGAACATCGCGGTGCGAAGGATGAGCAAAAAGACGATCATCGTCGTCAAGAGCGACGACGCGACCGCGGACGCCGCGCCGTTCATCACCCACGGAATGATCACGAGGACGCTCTGCATCAGCAGGGCGAACACTTCGACGCGATTCAGCGCGTTCGTTAAGACGCGACCGAAGATTCTCAGAGAGATGTCGCGCCACGGTTGGGTCCAGTACACAAACGCAGCGAAAGCGGCGTAGACGACGACGAGTAGGCCCGCGGCGACGTCAGCCGCGCGCGGCGACGTGCACACGACGACGACGAACTTTTGTATGAGCTCTACCGTGAGGTAGTGCACGGCGAGAAGCGCGCCGACGCGCTCAAACCTCGTCGGCGGTCGCTTGTGCGCCACACTATCCGCGCGTTCAATCGTTGAAGGCGTCGCCTTTGATGCGCCAGTAGATGACGAGTCGCCGCCTCCTTTCTCCTCCGTCGTCGCCGTCGCGTGAGTTCTCTTCTCTTCGTCCTCGAGATCGTCGTCGTCGAGAGGACGACGGTAAATGTCGTAGAGCGCGCCCCACGACGTGAGCTCTCGCGCGCCGTCGAGCCCGCCTCGTAGTCGGAGCGACCGAACGCGCGCGAGCACTATGAAGGGTACGCCGAGACCGACGACGAGTAGAATGAGCGACGCCACGGCTTGCGTGAAGCGATGAAACGGCGCATCGCACGGTAAATCGGTGTCGTGTTCGAGCACGTATCCCGTTCCGTGGTAAATGCACTCGTACGACTGCACACACAAGCGCACGACTGGAAGGTACATCACCGTGAGAGCGAGAACGGCAAAAGTACGCACGGCCACGCGCTTCTGGTACTGTCGCTGGAGCTCTGCGATGACGAGAGAGCCGTCCGGAGAATGGAACCGTTTCACTTCGCGACGCGAGAAAAAAGTGTGAGCTCGAACAAAGTATCCAGTGTCGTCGCCGTCGATGGAAATCACCGTACGCACGTACGCGCGCCTCAGGTACAGTTGACGCAACGCCAAAATCAGTGCCAGCATCGCCGGGACGATCACCGCGCCCGTCCAAAAGATGTAGTACCAGTTGAAGTTTCCCGACACGCACTCGGGGGCGATGATGTCAATGTTGAGATTGACGGAGGAAAACCACCGACCTATGGCGATGATTTCGTCCGGCCACTTGATGTTCACATCGACGTTGATGCTGATGTACTGCATCGAAGACACTATACCCTTGATGAGAGCGGTGGATGTGTTGTCGAGGATTTGTGCCGCGCGGTAGCCAACGAGACCAGCGAGGACGGTGACAACGGCGACCGCGGCGGCGCTCGCCGCGGTGTTGTCACCGCACCGTTTGCAGTTCCCGCCGCTTCGATAATAATCAATCTTGCACGCGACGCACCCGGTGAGCCAACTCCCCTCGGTGCATCCGGCGCCGTTGGCGAGACAACGGTTCGGGTACAACGTGCACGGAGTTTGCGCGCATCCACCGACGTCGGCGCCGTTGTCCTTCGTCGCCACCCCCACGGCGAAAGTTCCGGCGGCGTTGGTACACGTGTACGTCGCCGGCGTGTACGAAGTCACGCTCGCGACGGATGACAAGCGTGCGTCGCTCTGCAGAAGCGCCAAGAGCGGTGGCGTCGCCGACGAACCCCCCTCCGCGGGCGCCGTCATGAGCGCATCGAGCGACGGTCCCACCGCGCTCGTGGCCGACGCGTAATCTATCACTTCAATCTTGAAGGCCACCGTCACGCCGGAGAGCGCTTGTTGCAAGCGGCGTCGGCGGCGACGCCCAGCCGGCGCGTAATTCGTCACGCTCGTAATGGCAATCGCGCCCGGATCGAGGCTCAATTCCGCGGCGACAATCGCGATGAAGGCGACGCGTTGCGCTTGTCCAAACGTGCTCGCGTCGTAGCCGATGAGACTCACCGACGCCTCTATCACCACTCGTGCGGGTGGTGGCGGCGGCGGCGGTGACGGCGGCGCGGGCGGTGACGGTGGCGCGGGTGGCGCGAAACACTGCTCATCGGAAAGATAACTGCTCCGATGAAACAGTCTCGACGCTTCAAAGGCTGACGTCGAGCGGAACGACGCGTTCACGGCGTATGAGATCGGAGCGTTGGATACGCACTGCGACACGTACGCGGTTACGCCGTTCCATTGACTTGCACCGTTATCCTTCACGTAGAGCGACTTTCCGACGGTCGTGAGCGCTTGCAATCGAATCTCCGAGAGTTGCGGATTGCTCGTCAGCCGAAGTTCGCCACTGATCGTCTTGACGGAATCAAAGTAGAAGGACCACAGGTCTGCGTTGCCGTCGACGACGACGTCGGCGTCGATGCGTCCAGTTCCGGAATCGTAGACGTCTTCGCACACGTAGGCAGCGGAGTACGCGACGAGCTCGTACGGATAACAGTAATTGTTTGAAAGCGGACACGTGCACCGCGTCTTCACGCAGTACAAGGTTGATGCAACGGAAATCTCAGACGCCGCGCGACTCGCCGTAGATTGAACGACGGCGTCAATCAATCCCGTCGATACCAAGGCGCATGGCGCGTGGACGCGCGCCTCCGTCGCGAGATTGCGAATGACAAGAGTGCCGTTCACGATCTGAAGCGACGAAAACGTAACTTGACGGATCGCTGGATTGTTGGAGATTTGAACGTTGTCACCCACAGAGGTGAGCGATTCCAAATTCAGTCGCGTCATCTGACCGACGTTGTCGCGCACGTCCAAATCGCCGCCGATGTTCGTCAACGACGTAAAATTGAACGATGAGATTGGATTGCTGACACCGCTGTTCGCGTACCAGAAATTTACTTCTTCGTTGAGATTTGTGATTCGTAAACCACCCGTTATCGAGGCCAGTTTGGAGAATGGTTTTCGACTGTATCCATATCGGGAGTACCGGTACATGTCGAACGCCGCTCGAGAGAGCACCAAGTCCCCCTCGACTCGCGAGAGCGCGTCGAAATTGTCACCTAGATACAGATTATACGTGTCACTGACTCGTTGCGACGGCACTCGTTGCGACGGCGCGTCGACGACCAAGGTGCCGTTGAAGACGCCCGTCGTCTCGTCCATGATGGAGTGCGTGCACACGTCCGTGCTCGTATACGGTTCGAGACGCGGTACGGAAACTGACTGCATGCAGTTATGAGACGCACAGTAGCTATACGTCTCGCCAATCGAAGTTGGGATTTGGCAGGGATATCCTTCGTAACTCGTGCATCGACAACGGCGCGAGTAACACGTAAAGGCGCCGTACGTCATCGACGAGCTCGATCGACGCGCTTCGTTTACGACCAAGTCGCGAACGAAATCAACGTCCGAGGCATCCGAGCACTGCGCGTGCACCCGAAGAAGCGTGTCGGCGTTGTTCGTCAGATTGACGTGCATGCCGACGTGTTTGAGGTTACTGACGTTGAGCGTCACGAGGAAAGGATTATTGACGACTTCCAAGAATCCATCGATGGCGACCGCCTCGCCGAGCGCGAGTGTCTGTAGATTTTGATTGCCGTCGACGGTGATGTTCTCCTGAAATGCTGCACCGTAGTACGCGTTGAACCCGCTCGCCGAATCGCATCGGTCCTCGCTCGAGTACGGAATCATATCTCGGAAGGAGCACGTCGTGCTCGACGTCGGACACGTGCATCTGCTACAATACGTGATGGAGTCGTAGTTCACGCTCGAGCTCACGCGATTAATCGCGCTCGAGACGACGGTCTCGATGAGTCCACTCGATTTCGCCGCGCACGGCGCCTTGATGGTGAGATTGAAGAGTTGGGCGTTTGAATACGTGTAAGGGCACCGACCACACCCGTAAGGTGGATAGTAGGTGCAGACATAATTCGACAAACGCGTCGTCGCGGGGTGCTGGTCCAACTGCGAAGAGAAAATATGCGATGTTAGAACATGCGCCACACGCGTCGAGGGCGCCTTCAATGATTACGAATACGTACCTTGAGTTTACCGTCCACGCGGTCGAGGTTCGGCATGAACAACTGAACTTGCCGAGGCGTCCCGATGATGCTACTCGCGGACGGCGTGCTCGTTGAGTTGCACTGCTCTACCGTCAAGTACGAAGTGCTCATGTACTCGTTTAATTCGAATGTCACTTGTAAATTTCCGGTCACGTGCCGCAACTTGCTCAAATCGTACCGAATCCCGTTGGTAGCGCCTTGATTATTCACGACGAGCGTCAAATTTTCATTCAAAATACCAGCGGCGTCCAGCGTCGAATCACACGAGTAACTCGAGTTGTACGCCTTGAGCGCGTTCGAGCCGAGCGTCGCGCCGTCGTAGTAGTTTCCATTTTCCCAAATAGAATGAGAAGATAATTCGAGCGTGCACAGGCTGCAATACGCCACGGAACCGTACGAAAACGTCGACCGAGCCCTGGCGTTGGAATCCGTGACGACGCCTTGAATCAACCCGGACGATTCCACGCCGCAATTCGCGCGAACGGCCAAGGTTGCCTTGTTGCCGGAAATCTTCACCTCACCCTCGTTTGAGACCACTCGAAGGTTTTTCACGTTGAGCGTTGCCAAATTTGAGTTGTCGCTCACGTTGAAGTATCCCGCCACGGTTTCGAGCTCGGAGACGTCGAGAGAGGTGAAACTCGCGTGTGTTTCGCCGACGACGGCGAACGAGCCGCCGATGACGCGCAGTTTCTTCAGGTCGATCGTTTGTAAAAAGTTGTTGACGCCAATCGCGGCTTCGATTCGCACGTCCCCGCTCACCGTCTCCACGAGGTCGGGCGCTCGAAGCGCCGTGACAAACTTTGACGAGCGCACGACGAGCGCACCGCCGAGTCGGCGTAAACCGCTGAAATCAATCGACGAAACCGCAGTGTTACCGTCGATGATGATGTTTTCGTCCAAAAATCCGTCGGCGTCCATCGACCCCGGGTCGCACGTGCTCGACGAATCGGCGGGTACTAGGTTTTCGATCGCGCACGTGACCTGCGAGCCACTCGTCGGACACGCGCACGCGCTCGTGGACGATAGAGCGCTCGCCGAGGCCGCACACGCGATGAAAACCACCGCGAGCATCGCGAGCGTCGTCTCGCGCGCGCGTCTCACGCGCGGCGACGACGCCATGGCGATAATTGTGCGACCCCTAGATCGTTGGACAATTCAAACCTCGACGACGACGATCGACGTCGTGCGCTCGCGACGGACGTCAGAACGAGCGAAGGACGCGAAGCGTGAGCGCGATATCGAGCGGCGCGCGCCGACCGTTTCCCGCCGTGCGTCTTCCGCGAGCGTAGCTATGTGGGGGGTCGTGGAGCGCCAGACTGGCCCCGCCACGAGCGGGCACGCCTTGGCGCGATCGGGAGACGTATTATCGGACGTTTACACACGTCTTTGACTTTTACGTATCTTTTACGTACTAACGTTAGATCTTTTTTCCTATCGCGCGCCCGTGTGTCGAACCGGTTTCGGGCGATCGATCGATGTGTCGTCCATCATCTACTACTGTTTGTCTACACACACGATTCTGTACACCGCGCGACCGACCGTTTGTGGATAAGAATTTCCTCCGGGACGAATCTTTGGCGTATCTTTTTTCTTTTTTCCTACCCCTGTATATCTTCGAGTCATGACTCGTAAACTGGTTTACGGAGAAGTAAACGCGTTTTTTTGCGAGAATCGACTCATGTCTGTCGCGCACGACGTCGACGCATCGATTTCATCTTCTACTCTTCGTGCGTCGTTCCTTCTCTTGACGTTTCAACATCTTGCGAGCTCGCTTACGCACCACGAAGGGCTCAAAACGACGAGTCCACCGGGACATTTTCTGGGAGGGCCCATCATTTTCTGGTACAAAACTGTTTGCCCATACAAATTGCGTGGTACAAAAAAAACTCCGCACCGGCGGAGGGACAGGGGGCGTGTTCGACGCGCGCGACGGCTGCGTCACGGCGTCGCGCTCGACTTTCCGGGGAATCGCGATCACGGCGATCGCGAGACATTAAAATCCCAGCCAGTCGAGCGGGCGAGGCGAGATGCGCGAGCGCGCGAGCGCGATGGTTCCGGACGCGACGTCGCTGGACAATGTCTTCATCGACTCGGTGTCGACGAACGCTCGCGTCACCGACGCTATTCCGGAGACGCTGAACGCCGAAGACGAGGTGATATCATCGCGATCCACCGCACGCGGATCTCCACGAGGGAAGGACGACGCTCCGCGTCCGATCGGTCGTGGACGTCCGAGGAGGCTCGCGCGCGTTCGCACAGACGTCGCGTCGCGTCCACTCACGCTCGTGGAGACCATTCAAAAGATAAAGCGCGAGAAGGTGGTGCCCGTCTTGGAACGAATCAGGCAACACGAAGCGATGTTGGCCGAGCATAAGCGCCGCGCTGAGAGCGTCGTTTGATTCTCAGATCTCGGGATGCGTCGGTATATTCGTTGCATATTCTTTGCGCTCATAGCGTGCAATAATCCTAAACACCCCCTTCGCGTTTACGAGTCTCTCGCAAAGCACTTCCTCTCTAGCGACTTGACGACTTCTCCCGTGCTGTTCCTCCACCCTTCGCACTCGACCTCGTGCATACTCACCGCCGCGGGCGCGCTGGGGCGAGCGTGGATCCTCTTTCGCGGCGATCGTCGCGCTAGCCTTTGCTCACGACTACTAGTTTTGGAGTGTCCGCCGGATGCACAAACGTGAAACGTTGGAAGCTCGCTTCAGCCGCATGTTCGCCAACGTCTTCGTGACGTGCAAATACAGCACCGGCAGCGGTGGACGCGACTTGTAAACCTCCCCTTTTAGAAGTGGGTGCTTCGTAATCGATGCGCGGATGAATATCTCGTCGAGTAGTTCACCTCGCGCGTACGCTTGAGATACATCACAAGGTATGTACGACCCATCCGAGGATAGCCGCGATGTTGACATCACTCTGAAGGTCGTGAGCGATTGCGCTAAAAGTAAAGTATCGTGGTAGTCTTTCAACCAGACCTGGGTAAATCCACGCACCGCGAGTTTAGATTTCACCGTCCCGTCTGGTTAACACTGCGTCTACCCACTTTGTCCCGCGGACGTTTACTCCATGTTTTGCGTCGACGACTTCAAGTTGTCGTTGTGTTCTAGAAGTCCTCTAAGTTCTGTATCGAGACGACGCCTGTCGATGCATCAATACCCCCGCCGTGGTCCCCCGTGCTCGCCACCGCGGTGGCGTACACTACATACAAGTACTCTAGGACGGTACTAGGAGTGCTTGTACTCGTGCTAGAGCAGCGCTCTAGCTCTCGAACTTCCTCCAAAATAGAATCTGTGAGTTAGTACCATCTGACTTTGACTTTTCAACGAGATACACACATAACTGACGTCTCAGCTCATCCTCACTTTCCCTGGCATCTTACTGAAGTGCTTGACGAGATCTTCGATTCCTTCCGTCGGCTGCGTAGTTCCAGCGGTCGGATCGTTGCCTTCGTCAATGCCTTCTCCCTTCGTTTCGGGGTAACTCATTCGGTACCTCATCGGCGCCTTTCCTGATTTCCCGGGTGATTCTACGTGCCGTCATCCTGACGGCACTACACACCGTCCCTGAAATGGTACTACTGCATCGTTTCTTTCAATCGGTATCTCTTTGCTCTTTTGGCAATTCTCGCAACTTTCATTCTCTCCCAGAACCCGTCGAGACCCACGCACGACGTCGAGGTGGAAAGAGCCGGTTCTTTCCTATCTTCAAAGGTCCCTAAATATGGAGAATGATGGTAAAGGCAAAGATAGCACTAACGTTCGTATACGTATTACACTGAGTCGAGCGGTGTCTGTGCAGGCGCGCTGCGGCTAGGTTGGTCGCATCACGATCTATGAGTCGTGATGCTGACGCCCATCACGAAATCGATGATTCAGATCATGATGCTATATTGAGTGTATGTAAAGCCTATCATTTGCTGATATTGACGGGTATACCTCACTGATAGGCATCACGTGACTGATAATAAGCTATGTCGGTACCGGTTTCGAGGAAATACAGTGATGATAAGTAAATTGTGTCACTGTTCTAACCCTAGCACCCCCCTCGAAGAGAGCCGCTGCCTGCTTGAAATTTGAACTTTGCGAAGTTCGCGCGCCAAAATCAAGTCACGATGTCACGATCGATGTCTACTCCGCCCCCTTCGTCTACGTCTGCGCCGTCCGATCGGGCGCCCGCGCCCGCAACGAACATCGTCGTCGTCGAAGACAGCGAGCAGGACACGTCGAAGCAGGCTTCGGGCACAACGCCTGGGAACTCAAAATCTCAACCTGCGAATTCCTCTGAAACCCAACTTGCCGAAATTTGTACAAGGTAAAACACCAATGGGAGTACCCCCTCATACTGTTTACTCATACATGACATGACGGATTATGACTCAACAAAAGGTGTGCACAACCAACACGGAGATTAGGCTGAAAAAGAGATGGATTTTGACTAAAATCTCGGTAATGGTTGTGTACACCTTTTGTTGAGTCATAATCCGTCATGTCATGTATGAGTAAACAGTATGAGGGGGTACTCCCATTACTCCCGACTCGGGAGTCCCGAGCCGCTGCCTGCTCTTGAGAAGTTCGCGCGTCAAAATCAAGTCTCTTGGAGAGGCCGACGGTCGACCAGCCCCGGTCAACGGTCCATCAGCCCCGACCGATGCTACCTCTACTCAACTCGTTCGCGAAGGCGCCGATCGCTGCAAGCTATGCGTGAGTCGCGGCGACGAGAAGTGCGCGCACGCGCGTAAGACCGAGCGTTCGGACGCCCGCGTGACGCGCGCGAGCAAGCGTTCTCGGCGAGATGCACCCAATTGAGTATTATACCGCTATTTAGTCTATCATGTAATTTTTTATGTAAATTCGGACAATCGGACAATTTCCTCCAAGGTCAAATCACCTTCCATGGGTCGTGATGCTGATGCAGATCACGAAGTTTCGGGTCGTGAGGGAGATCGTGATGCTGATTTTACCCAACCCAGCGCTGCGGGCTGGTCGAATAGGCTTGGGAGATACCAGAATATAAGTCAAGGTTGACCTCTGGAACCGGGCCTTTGACAGGCTGTCAATGACAGCCGCCCATCGATCGATCGGAATGGTGATATCAATACTATCCCGCATTTTAGACGATAAAACTGGCGTCTGCGAAAGCGACTCGAAAACCTAGAGCCCCCCCCTTTCGACGCGTCACTTCTCGGCGCCGCCGCGCACCGCGCGTCGCGAAAACGCGCGCGCGTCGGCGTGAAACCCACCTCGAAGGGTTTGTGCGCGCACGAATCCCGTCGCGCGCGCGCGAAACGTCACGGAGACGCGCGTCGAGCGATAATTGTCCGAGGAATAAAATTCAAACGTGCGGCTGAGAATCGTCGACGCCGCCATGCGCCGTCGCGCGTCGTCGCGAATCGCACGCGCGACGCGCGCGATGGCGCTTTGCATCGCGTGCGCGACGCTCTTGGTCTCCGTCGCGCGCGCGCAAACGACGGACTGCGTCACGCCGGTGATCACCCCGACGCGATTCGAACTCGCGTACGGGCAAACGTTCGATCTCACTCAGAGAGGCGTCGACGCGGTGTATTACATCGGGTTCGATGAGTACGTCGAGATCGAGGACGCGCAGTCGAACGCGTGGCGAACGGTGTTGGTGAATCAGGCGTGTCCCGCGCCGCCGCCGCCGGCGCCGCCGCCGCCGTCTCCGCCACCCCCGGCGCAGGCATCCGTGAACGCCGCGCTCGAGCTCTCGGGGTACAGCGCTGCGGCGTTCGGACAACAAGAGCAAGATAACTTCAAGCTCGGCGTCGCGCGGTATCTGGGCGTGGACGCGAATGCGATCACGATCACGTCGTACGCTGACGTCGTCGACGGATCGGGTCGCCGAAGACGGATACTCCAAACGTCTCGACTCGCGGTGAACTTTGTCGTCGAGGTTGCCGATTTCACGAGCGCGACGACCGTCGCGAGCGCGTTGACGCCGCCCACGACGAACTCATCGACGTCTACGTTTTCGTCCACGGCGCTCGCGACGGAGCTGTACACGATGGGTTTACGAAGCGTCGGCGCGATCACCGCCACGAGTCAACCCGCGCTCGCGGCGCCGCCCCCGAGCCCACCGGCACCGCCGAGCCCACCGCCGAGTCCGCCGCCGAGCCCGCCGCCGAGTCCGCCACCGAGTCCGCCGCCGAGCCCGCCGCCGAGTCCGCCGCCGAGCCCGCCGCCCCCGAGTCCGCCGCCGTCGTGCGGGAACGGCGTGTACGACACCGCGGGAACGAACCCGGATGGGACGACTGGGGAATCGTGTGATCCGTTCGGGAACGCGGCGACGCCCGCGTCGCCCGTGGACGGGTGCGATCCGAACACGTGTCGCCCGCTCGTAAACTGGGCGTGCGACGACGTCTCGCTCATCGGCACGGCGACGTACAACTGTACGTGCGATAATCCCGCGGGGACGTACGCGGTGCCGACGCAAAATTCGTGCGCGCAGACCCCGTGCGTGTACATCGAGCGCTGTCTCGCCGGCGGACGCGGGTGCATCCCGGGCGCCGGAGGAAACGCGTGCGATCGGTGTCTCACCGCCGCCGACGTCGCACAGCTCGGTCCGGGGACGACGACGCTGAACAAGGCTGGATACTACAAGGCTGGTCAGATTTGCGCCGTGTGCCCGGCGACGTCGGCGGTGCAAATCTTCGCCGCCGCCGCCGCCGTGGTCGCCTTGGCCGTGTTCGGTTTCAAGGCGTCCCAAGTCATGGGCTCACAGGCGACGAATAACATGAAAAAAATCGTGGAATCGCTTCAGTTTTTCTCCCTCTCCCTGGGGATGAGCATCGAGTGGCCCGGTCCCGTGCTCAATCTCGGCAAGTACCTCGAGGCGTTCACGTTTAGCATTGAGTTCTTACGCCCCGAGTGCGTGGCCACGGGTTTGAACTGGTTCAACATTTTCATCGCCTCCGTGTTCGTCGTCCCCGTGTCGGTGTGTCTCATCGTCGTCGTCAACGACAGGCGCTCGCGCACGCGCTACGAAAACACGGTTCGAGCGATTCACAGCGAAACCAAGGAGAAGGAGGTCAACGCCGCGGATGACGGAAACGTCGAGACGCCGAATACATCAACCGTCACGTATTGGATCGAGCGTCCCGGGTATCTCTGGGGCACCCGCAGGACGTTTCAATCCGAGGGCGGGGATAAAATCGTCAAGGAGTTGCAGCGACAGTACCGCTACCGCGCCAATCTTCGCACGTTTGGCGTGCTCGCGATGACGGTGCTCTACCTCCCCATCGTGCGCATGTGCATGCAATCGTACGATTGCATCAAACTGGACGGCGTCGACGGCACGCGTTTGGAGCACGACATCGACATCAAGTGCGAGAGCGCGGCGCACGAGACGACGCAAGCGACGGCGTCCATCATGCTCGTCCTCGTCGGCGTCGGCATGCCCCTGTACGTGATGTATCAAGTGCGCAAGATTCGCGTCGCGGGTAAGCTCGACGACCCGCGCACGCTCGACGCGTACGGCGCGTTTTACGACATTTACCGTCGAGACGAGTTGTCGCGATCGGACAAGTTGGAGATTGCGCGCGTCACGCGCGCGGGCGACGGCGTCGTCGCGACGCGCGACGACGACGACGAGATGGAGATTGAGGCGCTGATGGTTGAGGTTGACGACGACGACGGCGAGGCGGGCGCGACGAACCGCGACGACGTGCCCGAAGAAGATGTCGAGCGAGCCGAGACGCCGTCTTCGGCGCCGCGAGACGGAGGCGTGTCGCCGCGAAAACTTCTCCGATCGTTCTCATCCTTTGCGCGATCGAAATCCATGGGCACGACGACGACGACGACGACGACAACGACGCATTCGGGCGTCGCGAATGATGCGACCCCGACGATCGCGCGGTCGCCCTCGGCCAAGGCGCGTCGACGCGCGATGAAGATGCGTTGGCGAGACCAGTTTGCGTTGTACTACCTCGCCGTCGAGCTCGCGTTGAAGAGCAGCGTCATCCTCGTCACGTCGCCCCACGTATCGCAAACCGCCCTGAGTGGATGGGCGCTCGTCTTCGTGCACTGGTTCAACGGCGCCTTTGTCGTCGCGTGCCAACCGTGGCGCGTGATGACGCTCGGGTTCGGGAAGTGGCGCGTGACGAATTGTCTCAACAAGGTGGAGGCGTTGGCGGGATTCCTACAAGGTTTCGCCCCGTGCCTCGCCATGGCGTTTCCGGTGCGCCGCGACGCGTTCGGCGAGGTCCAGCGAAGCGTCGCGTACGACGTCGTCACCGCCGTGCTCACCGCGATCATCACCGGTTTACTCGCGATTCGCGTCTTTGTCTTTGTGGGCGAACGCGTCGCGGTTCGACGGAAAAAGATGGACATCGAGCGCGATCCCGAGGCGAGCGTCGCGAACGTGCGCGACGAGTTCGTGTCGCTCGCGAAATCAGGCGCCGTCGTGCGTCTGTACGCGCTCAAGGCGGATTTCGACATCAAGCGACGAAAGACGCGCGCGCGTTTGGAGGACACGCGCGCCGCCATGTTGACGCGCGTCGAGGATTTAAAGGCGTCGGAGGAATTCACCGCGGACGCGAACGCGCGCGCGGCGACGGCGGAACGCATCGTCGCCCTGTACGAAGTCGCGAACGAGATGGCGCGCGTGGTGAACGTGCTCCTTCCCCACCCCGCTCCAGAGGGCGCGGACGCCGAGCGTCGCGCGGCGGACGCGGAGACGTACCTCGACGAACTCGTCGCGGAGGTGCGCGCGAGGTTTGACGCCGCCGGCGGCGACGACGCAAACAAGACGGCGCGCGCCGAACACGTCGCGCTGCTCGCGCACGCGCACGACACCGCGCTCGCGCGCTTGGACGCGGACATGCGCGCGTACGCGGACGCGGAGTCGCTCGCGTCGCTCGTGACGCTCGGACGCGCGTTTCGAGACATCAAAGCGCGGCAACTCAGCCTCGCGCGCGGGTTCGGGGATAACTCCACGCGCGAGGCCTTGGCGCGCGCCGTGGACGCGCGCGACGTCGTCGAGGCGCTGCGACTGGCGGTGGAGACGGATGACGCCGCGCTCGCGGGACGCGCGCTCGAGGCGACGCACGACGCTCTGCGCGCGCACGAGTCGTGGTGTCGCGACCAAGCGGCGTTTTTCAATCGTCTCGCGGCGGCGTCGCGCGCGGTGGACGCGAAGGACGTCGAGAACGAGGATGAGACGACGACGAAGAATGCTACGAAGAATGCTACGAAGCAAAAGACGGCATCCGCGTTCTCGCGCGCGATGACGTTGGGTCGACGCGCGTCGAAAAAACGCGCCGCGGATGCGGATGCGGACGCGGACGTGGACGCGTCGTGGCCCGCGAGTATTCCGCGTGACCCACGCGTGACGACGGACGGCGTGTGCGACGTCGCCGTCGCATCGTTACGATCGAACGAAGCGCTCGTCGACGCGTTCGCGGTGAAGTGCGCCGAGACGTGGGCGCCGACGTTTGCAAAGTTTGGGCGTTTGCGCTACGCGCGCGCGTTCGGCGAACTCACCCGTCGACAACTCGCCGTGGACGTCGGCGGCGTCACGTCCGCGGAGGAGGCGCGCGGGGTGTACGACGACGTCGTGGCGTTGTCCGAAACGCACGCGTCGCGGTGCGTCGCCGACGTCGAAACGTTCGCGCGCCTCGCGAGCGACGCCGCGTTCGCCGCGCGATACGGCGCCGTCGTCGCCGCCGCGACGCGCAGTCTGGACGCCGTGCGCGCGGACGCCGAGGCGCACGGCGCGCGCGCGCGCGGCGCGCAAGAGGCGTTGGGTCGCCTCGTCGAGGCGAAAAACGCTGCGCGCGAGGCGCGCGCGCACCGCCAACGCGCGTGCGACGAATTCACGCGCGCGACGCGCGACGCCGACGAGGCGCGCGTCCAATCGCTCGACGACGCGCGTCTCTCTCGCGCGCGGGCGTTGGAGGACGCAAAGAAGCGCCGCGACGCCGCCGTCGTCGCCCTCGACGCCGAGATCGACGCGGCGGCGGCGAAGATGTTTGACGTCGTCAACCGCGAGGCGGACGCGAACGACGCGGATGACGAGACGACGCGCCGCGAGACGCGTCGACGCCGCGCGCGCGTCGAGCGCGACGTCAAGGCGCTCCGGCGCGACGCTAAGCGTCACCGAGACGAGATCGAGCGAGATCTCCGCGACGCGCTCCGCGACGCGACCGCGCAGGAGAAGCGCGACGCGGCGGACGCGGCGGCGGCGCGCTCAAAGGCGCAGAAAGAGGTGCGCGCCGCCGAGCGCGACGCGGCACAGACGCTTCCCGAAGACGTCCACGCCCGGCGCGTCGAGGTGGACGCCGTCAAGGCGGTGCGACGGCAACAAAAAGACGTCGCGCGCGTCGCGCGCGCTGAGAATTTACTCGCGACGCACATTCGCGGCGAACTCGAGCGATCGGCGAAACGGGCGGATAAAATCGCGAGCGACCGCGCGGCGACGGATGGCGACGCCGAGACGACGCGATGATGATTGAATAAAAAAGCAATATTTAACGCAATCACGATGACTGACGAAGGCGCGACGATGCATCCCGGGGGACGCGACCGGCGCGTCGCGTCGTCGTCGCCACCGATCCGCGTCCTATATATCGCGGCGGCTCGACGCCACGAGCGCGAGACGACGCGCGAGACGTCGTTCGCGTACGCGCGCGTCGATGTACACACTCAGCAGCGTCGTGGAATCGAGCCCGCGCGACTTGTATCTAATTTCATCGTCCCGTCGAAGCGCTCAACCGCGAATAACTCGCGTCCACTCACGCGTTCTTCGTGAGACACGTCCACGCGCTGGGCGGGGGCACATCGACGTCGGCGGCGACGACCATCCCCTTGGCGCGCATCAACGCCCGCGCGCGCGCGTAGTAGCGCGCGAACACGACACACTTAACCGTCCCTTTGAGTCCCGCGAGATGAATGATGAAATCGCCCGTTTCGTAAAACCACGGCTGCGAGTTGAATGCGCACGCGTGCACGATCTTCGTCCTCGCCCGAACGGTGTTCGCGTTGGGATAGATTGGTCCCTTAGTGACTTCGCGCCATCGCGTCGACGCGTAGAGGTGATGAAACGCGCGCTGTTCGTACTTGAAGAGCATGTTCCACGTATTCTTCGGCGCCACGAGGTGTTCTTGCGCCCAGAGTTCATCCAGAAACCACAGCGTCCAAGGCGTGTTTCGCACCAACCACACCCCGCAGTTCACCCCGTTCGAATCCGCGGCGAGGACTTGATCGTAGTCGAAATCGACGATGTCCTCCAAACCCGTCTCGGGGTTCATCACGACGGCGTCGACGTCCACGTAGAGCAAAAAATCATACCTCGGAAGATGCTTGCGCATCGCCAAGAGTTTACTCCAGCTCGTCGGTCTGCTTCTATCGATCACGTCGGCGTCGACGATGAAATCGTACCCGTGCGCATCGGCGTACGCCTGTTTATTCGCCATCGACGGCGCGCAGATCGCGTCGACGCCGCCGTCGCACAGCGACACGATCCCGCCCTTGAGTCGTCTCGTCGGTTGTTTTCCGGGAAGATTCGTCACGTCCGCCGGTCGCGCATCGCGCAGGAATTCGCGATCGACCAATCCGCTCGGCACTAGAGCGTCGGTCGCGCACGGGATCGGTCGATCCATCGGACGCGTCCATCGTCTGAGGTGGACTTTTATAAATCCTTGAGCGAGCGTTCGAGCGAACGGGCCGAGCGCCCACATCAACGAGATCGCGAACACCCACCGCGCGCGACTTCTCGTGAGCGACGGATTCCTGGCTAAAGTTTGGGTGGAGACCGTCGCGTCCGATCGACCGTTCGCACCGATTCGCGCGCGCCAGAATCGTCTCGTTGAAGACGACGTCGTCAACTCCGCGTTGCCCCGGTCGAATTCCCTCCCGTCGCTACGACGTGACCGCGCGCGCGGTTTCATCGCTCGAACCGTGCGTTCAATCGATCCATGCGTTAAAGACGCGCGCGGCGCGAAGACGACGTTTGACGTGAGAAAACGTCACAACGGTCGGAAATTATCTGATTCAGGGCAACAGGTTTGTTCTTCGCGCTATTCTTTGACGCCGCGACGAGATCACTCGTTGAGGTGAATACAGCCTCGTCGTCGCGTCGACGACGCGACTTTTCTCTTCGCACTCGTCGCGACTGGTGTTGTTGTGGATTCTGGTATTTTCGCCCGATGCCAAATCAGAAGAAAACGGTCCGCGTTCGCGTACAGATGGACACGACGTGATGGTCATACATTCACAAACGTACTATTGAATCAACTGAGCCGTGTGTTCGCTACATCTATCGGCTAGGTTGGTCGCATCACGATCTATGAGTCGTGATGCTGACGCCCATCACGAAATCGATGATTCAGATCATGATGCTATATTGAGTGTATGTAAAGCCTATCATTTGCTGATATTGACGGGTATACCTCACTGATAGGCATCACGTGACTGATAATAAGCTATGTCGGTACCGGTTTCGAGGAAATACAGTGATGATAAGTAAATTGTGTCACTGTTCTAACCCTAGCACCCCCCTCGAAGAGAGCCGCTGCCTGCTTGAAATTTGAACTTTGCGAAGTTCGCGCGCCAAAATCAAGTCACGATGTCACGATCGATGTCTACTCCGCCCCCTTCGTCTACGTCTGCGCCGTCCGATCGGGCGCCCGCGCCCGCAACGAACATCGTCGTCGTCGAAGACAGCGAGCAGGACACGTCGAAGCAGGCTTCGGGCACAACGCCTGGGAACTCAAAATCTCAACCTGCGAATTCCTCTGAAACCCAACTTGCCGAAATTTGTACAAGGTAAAACACCAATGGGAGTACCCCCTCATACTGTTTACTCATACATGACATGACGGATTATGACTCAACAAAAGGTGTGCACAACCAACACGGAGATTAGGCTGAAAAAGAGATGGATTTTGACTAAAATCTCGGTAATGGTTGTGTACACCTTTTGTTGAGTCATAATCCGTCATGTCATGTATGAGTAAACAGTATGAGGGGGTACTCCCATTACTCCCGACTCGGGAGTCCCGAGCCGCTGCCTGCTCTTGAGAAGTTCGCGCGTCAAAATCAAGTCTCTTGGAGAGGCCGACGGTCGACCAGCCCCGGTCAACGGTCCATCAGCCCCGACCGATGCTACCTCTACTCAACTCGTTCGCGAAGGCGCCGATCGCTGCAAGCTATGCGTGAGTCGCGGCGACGAGAAGTGCGCGCACGCGCGTAAGACCGAGCGTTCGGACGCCCGCGTGACGCGCGCGAGCAAGCGTTCTCGGCGAGATGCACCCAATTGAGTATTATACCGCTATTTAGTCTATCATGTAATTTTTTATGTAAATTCGGACAATCGGACAATTTCCTCCAAGGTCAAATCACCTTCCATGGGTCGTGATGCTGATGCAGATCACGAAGTTTCGGGTCGTGAGGGAGATCGTGATGCTGATTTTACCCAACCCAGTCTATCGGCATTCGACCGCGCATCAATTCGCGCGAGTCGAAGGGACTACGACGTCTAAAGCTCTGGCGTCGGACAACACGTAAACTCAAACGCATCACCGGTGAATCGAAAACGCGTGAGCGCCGAGCCTTCGCTACACGACACTTTCGCGAGCGCTAACGAGCTGACTTTCCTGACGTTGGCCTCGATTTCGAGAGATTTTGTCGTCGCGCACGCGTCGAAGCGCGGCGTCGGTTTCCCCGACGTGCACGCGTACGCGATGGACATTGATTTACTCCACTGTTTCAGATACCAGCTCGATATGAAACGGTCCACGCAATCCACCTCGTGCGCGCTCAGCGTGTCCAAAGAGTTTCGTTCGAGCGACATCGATCCCGAGGGTCCGAACTCGGTTTCTTTCTCCGGACCCGCAATTCCAAACGTCGCGCCGTCGTCGAACATCGCCTCGACGCACGCGTAGGCGTTGCGCACGTTCGTCTCCGTTCCTTCGTCGGATACTTGAAATTCAAATCCAGTGAGCGCGGCGTCGTTCCCGCACTCGATGCGGTGGACGTTCCCGTATTCCAGCGGCCCGCCGTCCGGACCAAAGGGCGTCGTCTTTGAAGATGTCTCCTCGTACTTTGGTTTCGGCGGCGGCGGCGGCGGCGGCGGCGGCGGCGGAGGCGTTCGAGTGAACATGCGAGTGATCGACCAGCGCGTCGAGATGTCGTGCGATTCGTCCGCCGTCCGTCTCACCCACCAGATCGCGATGATTCCGAGGATAAGGGCACAATCGCACGCTCTCGCGATCAGTTTCCTCGCCGTCACTCTGCGTCGAAACGTACGTCGTCGCTCGACCACGCGTGGATTCGGGGAAATCATGACACGAATACCGACGCGGGGTCCGATCGATGTCGCGCGAACGATTGTGACGCGTGGATCCGCCGAGGTGAATGAAGTGACCTCAGTGAACGTCCGGTAATTCTAAAAGTTCATCGCGCGCGAACGATTCGCGCGCGTCGCGCGCGATAATGGACGACTGTCCATCGCGCCGCGTCGTCGTCGTGGACGTGAATTACTCGCGCGCATCGCGATGTTCGTCGAAGATTCATCGCACGAAACGCCACTTCGCGGCTGACGCGCTCCGTCCTTTGACCTCCACGCTTTCGACGACATGCCCTCCCTGCGCGTCGCCTCGCTCTTCGCGGGCATCGGCGGTTTCGACGTCGGTCTCGAACGCGCGGGCCACCGCGTGGTGTTACAGGTGGAGAAGGACCCGCGGTGCAGACGCGTCTTGAAGCGTCGCTTCCCCGACGTCGCCCTTGTGCGTGACGTCGCGGAAGTTTTACCGCACGCGCTCGACGGCGTCGATCTCCTCGTCGCCGGGTTTCCGTGTAACGATTGTTCGTTTGAAAATCCAACGCGTCCGGGACTGAGATACGGCCACTCGACGCGGCTCGTGCGTCACGTCTTTCGTCTTCTCGCCGAGCGTCGCGTGCCTTGGGTCCTTCTCGAGAACGTCGTCGGGTTATTGCGTTGGCATTTCCGCGGGGAAGAGGACCAACCTCCCGCGATCGAGTACATCGTCTCCGAGTTTGAGCGGCTCGGATACCGTTGGGCGTATCGCGTCGTCGATTTGCTCGCGTTCGGCGTGCCGCACAAACGTCGACGCGTCTTCATCGTCGCGAGCGTTCACGGCGATCCGCGCGACGTCGTGTTGAGTCAAGACACGGATTGTCGAGGTGCGTGCGAGACGTACGTCGCGCGCGCGCGCGAAGTGAGCGGTCGATCGAATGAGCGAACGCAGTGTTACGATTGCTTCAACGCGTCGCGAGACGACGATGATACGTTCGGTACTCGGATACGAACCGCGTGCGTCGATCTCGGGGAAACCAGACGCGCGCCTTTGCTCGACATTTGTCAATGTCTCACGACGTCCAACGGCCGACGGACGTGCGTGATCGCGCGTGAGCACGCAGACGCGACGCCATCGATGCGCGCGCTCGCGATTGAGGACGCCGAACGACTCATGGGATTTGAACCGGGGCACACCGCGCCGTGTGCTCGCACGTCTTCCGTGGACGACGCGGGATTCACGGGTCACGCGACGCACGCGGTGAGCGCGCGGTTTTCGCTTCTCGGCGCCGCGTGCGCGGTGCAGCACAGCGAATGGTTGGGCGAGCGATTGCGCGCGCCGTACGCGACGAAGTTTTTACACCACGCCGCGTCGACGCCGTTCGAGACACCGTGTGCGGTCGACGCACGCCGAGACGGTGTTCAGAGCGATGTGCATCGTCGACAACGCACTGCGCACACGTCGTGGCCGCTCGCCGCATACAACGTCTTCGATTCACTCGACGACGACGACGACGTCTCCGCGAGACGAGCCGCGAGGCGTCGCGCGCCGTCAACGCTCTCGGAATCGCCCATCCTTCGCGCGTTCGTACCGCTCGGAGAGTTTCTGACGCACACGCACGTGCGCGATGAAGTCGATCGAGCGACGCGCGTGGCGTACAGAAAACGTTTACGCGAGAGCGGACACGACGACGTCGACGATCTCGTGCGCGTCGCCCTGGATGACGACCCGCGCGGTCGAGGTGTCGATTCGCGACGTGACGACGAGAACGCACCGCGTTCGGGCGAACGCGATGCGTCGAATCACCGACGCGCGGTCGAGTGGTCGATGCGAAAAGTCGCGTCGTGCGGCGCGTGCGCGCGGTGTCGTCGGAGCGACAAAGCCACTTCGCGCGCGCCGTCTCGCAGTGGACCGAGAGATAAAAATTCCACGGCGGATGCATCGTCAACGTGCGTGCGAGTGCGCGTCATCGCCCCACTCGCGCGCGCCGGACACGTCGGCGCCGCGTTGGCGATGACGGGGCGCCGAGCCGTCGGGCGGCGAGTGCGCGTTTTTTGGGAGCTAGACGGTGCGTTTTTCCCAGGGACGCTCGCGGCGTTCGACGCGCGCGCGTACGCGTACAGGATCGAATACGACGACGGCGACGTCGAAACGTCGTTCGAGCCTTGGCGCGAGGTTGTGTCGCTCGTCAAGTGAGATTCGCTCTTATTAAAGTGAGACGAGCGCAAAAAGAGTCATCAAACCTGTGAGTATCAGCTTCTTCACGTTCGTGTAAAACCGTGCTGCCGATACTGAATCTTAGTTTCCGTTTCCATCGTGATACGCTTATCGGCGTGGAGTCGAATGGCTTGGGAAGAGAATCTTCACCTAAAGCACGCTGATCGGGATGAAAGGGTTCCACAGAATCATCGAGGCTGACGTCAAATGTGATCCGCTGTATGGGGGACACATTCACTTCTCACAGAGCATGAACTCCAAGGCTTTATCGATGTCAGAAAGCGTCGTCGTGAGAGGGTGCTTGATCATGTAAGCGTCCTTCGGGGTGCACGAAACCCGGACGCGACGCGCGGTGTCTTCGCGCGGCGCTCTTGCTCGAGCGCGAGGCGACGCCCCTCGCGCGGCTCTGGGCCGACGCGTCGCGACCGCTTTCGTGAACGCGCCGCGCGACGGCACTGAACGAGATGCTGGGATGTCAAAACTGCAGTCACTAAATGCATCCTCGACGCCAACGGAACGAACGATTACAACCTACCGCACGGCATCAAGCACGAGGAACCCATTTCTGTCGCTCTTTCCTTGGATTTGGACGACGTTAGTTAGTAATTGAATTTTAGAGTCGGAAAATCTCCAAAACTCTAAAAAATTCTCTAAAATTTGCCAAAATTTTAGAGTTTTAGCAATCTCTTTTTCAGCCTTAAACTATTGAAATTGCCATTCTAAAACTTGTATATGTGCAAACAGTATGAGGTCCTAGGGTACAGCCATTGTGTTTTACCTTGTACAAATTTCGGCAAGTTTTCGCAACACGCGACATGTGTGCGCGGATAACGCGCCGACGAGGAGCGCACCAGGAATACCTGCAGAAAGGAGCGGAGGAAGTTCGTCCCAGTTGGGCGACGCGCTAACAGTTAGTAGAATTTTAGCAATCTCCCTTTCAGCCTGACTCAACAAAAGGTGTGCACAACCAACACGGAAATTAGTACGTATCAGGCCAAGCAGGCCTAGACTGAGCGCGCGCTTCACACTACTTGAAACACCCGGTCGGGCCGACCCTCACAGGAAGCACTCTGTCTTATGATGAAGAAGGAAGTACTCACATTGTCTCCGACTGAGCTACGTGAGTTGAGCGTTGGAATCAACTGCATCTCAAAATCCGGTTTTTCGTTGCTTGTATTGAAGCGAGGAGACGGTACTTTGCAAGCTTGCGAAAATCTGTGCAAACACCAGGGCGGTAAGTTCGCACCGAGCACTGATATCGAAGACATGGGCACAAACATTGCAAAGTGTACCCGGCATCATTGGAAACTTGACTGTGAAACACTTGAATACGTCAACCCCCCTGAGGTGCACAAACAAGAGCCGCTCCACATCAAATATGGACGAGATGGTTCGGCCACATTTCTGAAGGAAGTCGCTGAGTTGCCATGGAGAGAAGGACTACCGCGTGCTAAGCTCGACTCCAATGAGCTGACAGTTACTTACCTGTCGCATGCGTGCTTAGAATTTAAGCTCGGGCGGCACGTGATTGTTAGCGACCCCTGGCTTATTGGTCCAGCTTTCTTGAGAGGTTGGTGGTTGAAGCATCAACCGCCAGAAAATGCGATTGAACGAGTGTGCAATGCTGATGCTATCTGGATAAGCCATGGTCACAGTGATCATCTGAATATACATACTCTTCGCCTAGTTGCAGCTCGGCGGCCTGATATCCCCATTTTTGTTGGAGAGTTAAATGAGCCAATAATACCACAAGACGTTATGGAAGACATCGGCCTGACCAATGTGAATATTATTCCAACAGGTAAATGGTACTATCTCGATGAAAACTCAAGATTCATGATAAACACTGACGACACACTACCTGAAGTGGATACGTGGGTGATAATGGAGCACAAGGGCCATCGGATTATCAACTTCGTCGATTGTAGTGCTCCATCTGCATTTAATGTTCCAGATGAGCAGGTTGATGTCATTCTAACTGATTTCGCTTCCGGCGCATCTGGTTTCCCTAGCTGCTTTGCTGACATGTACGGAAGTGAGAAAGTTTTACAGCTTGCAAATGAGAAACGTAGACTATTCCTACGAAAACTCGGGGATCTCGCCAGACGTACAAGAGCAAAAGCTTACATACCAATGGCTGGTTACTTCACTCCGTCGCATCCTTCTGACTCTGATGTTCTAAAGTTGAACAGGCAAAATTCACCAGAAGAGGCTGTGACGTTTTTGAAAAAGACACACCCGCACATGAAGGCATGGATTCCGTTTCCTGGCGGACGATTTGATTTGTGCAGTCTTGAAGGCGATGAAGCACCAGATGAGAGCTCGTATACATGTAAGAGTTGGCAGTTCTCATCGTACACATCGCAGATAGAGTCTGTTGCCGAGCGTGCAATGGTCACACGCGAACAACTACAGCAGTACTTCGATTGGGTGGGTTTTGCAGACTACGATCTTGTTTTACACGTCGTCGAGATGGATGAGAAACTTGAGAGCATCGTACGGGAATTTTTCATTGATTTCGATTCAAAAAAGCCGAAAGTCGTGACATTTAAGCCACGACTGGGAAAATACTTGCGCATGCGTGTTCGTTCCACATCCTTCCGCTATGTTCTACATACAGGTTCTACCTGGGATGACCTCCTGATAGGATTTCAAGCCAGAATAAGCGTGTCACCGGATGTTTATCATTTTAAGTTTTACAACCATTTTTCGAATCTCTTACCACGAAATAAACCACAATTCAAGCTATCAGAAACTACTATCGAGCGCCAACAACAGAAAATCTCAAAATTTAACTCCTTGCTAGTATATGCTTTCATTCTGGTCATGGCAGTTATCCATGCCATGCTCAGGTAAGCTAATCGAACTGGAATTGACATCTGTTGTCGTAACCCTCCATCCAGAAATGTATGAAACTGTCTTGTGGCAAGTGAGGTATACACGATGCATTAGTATTGTTGTTGAGGTAAAACGTGGCATTCCAGTCTTGACGCTGTTCAATCGCTCGAACGACAACGTCGTACTTTTGCGAAGGCCACGAGAACTTCCCACCAGTCAACGAGCCGGGTGATGGACTCTCGGACAAAAGATGCATTCTCTGCCGGAGTCTACGTACAGCTGTGGCCGCTGCAACTGTAGGTCCATCGACAATGGGTGTACACATTTGATGAACTGCAAAATCTTCGCGCAGGCTATCCATTTCATACGTGAGATGCATACCCCGCATGCTCTTGAGCAAGAACTCTTCAAAGCTGCGACTGAAATGATGATTGAGCTGAAATTCTGCACTCTTTGGACGAAGCCATTGACTATTGTACAGCGTTTTCGTGGGATCACAGCTGGTAATGTCTGTCAGAGAGTTCTCTAGAACACAATAATAACCATCGTTGTAGTCCATATAGTGTGCATTCTTTATATCCATCACAGGCGCAATTGAACCAGGAGTAATCCCACGGACTATCGTTTTGATATTCCTTTCACTTGGATGGCGATCACAGAGCTTGTATGGCTCAAACGCATCTATCGCCTTCGGTTTCAAAAAGTGTTCGCTATAGTGAACGATACGCCATAGGATACCTAGACCTCCAATATGTAAGTTGTCACGAATTAGTGGCTGCTCAAGATAGTCCAGAAGGGATCGACCATTGATAGATACTACAACTTCGTCGACATCGAGCATAGCTAGCCATTTTGCACGATGAGCATAAAGGTCGTAACACCTCTTTTTCAAGCAGTTTTCACCACTTATGGCGAATAGACTCTCGTAATCTGACCTGTTGAGCCCGTACTCATCAGCGAGGGAGAAATTATTCATAACATCCTTGTAATAGTTTTGGACTGTAACGAGTCCTCGCTGGATAAGAGGTTCCACAGCCTCAAAGAATTGATCTCGCATACCTGACGGCGAAATATCATTGTTGTTCATGATAATAAAATGCTCGATCCCCGCCACATGATTCCAAAGCACCCAAGATTGAAGCAGGTGGGCATCCATTCGTGCCATGGCACACGCAACAAGTCCCCATTCTTTCTGCTCAGTGGTACCCACTGAGTCGGTAACACTGGATAGAAAAAAGCTGGATACGTCCATTCGAAGGTTAAGTGTACTGATAAATACGAGACAAATAGTGGCACCGGTAAAGTAAGGTCGTATCTCAGCAACCATCGTATTTTCAGCGTACATGATTGAAGCGATAACTGTTATCAAGCATCCGGTAAATGATGTGATAGTCATTGCATCACCAAACAGAAGCACGCCTGCAGAGACTATGCATATCATTTTCAGACAACCTAACACTTGAAAACCTAACGCATCGATTCTACTGATGACAAGTGTACCAGAGAAATTGACGAGGCAGGCAACACAACACGAGATGATAACACACAAGCACTTCAACGGGTCAGCAATATCTGCAAACGTTTGAGTGTCAACTTCACCAGATGCAAGGGCCCAAATGAGAAGAAAGCATCCGGCAGAGCGCGTCCAGTTCAACAGAAATTGAGCGGTGCTCAGCTCCTTTTGATATTGAGCACACCATACCTGTGCCAAAGAAGCTGCTGGTATAGCTCCAACCAACGCAAATGCTCCGACAAAGTTAGTTCTCACGCTTAAATCCGGCGCAGTGACCAACGCGCAGCCATAGACGATAAGTCCGAGTGCGATCACTCGACGTTTTCCTGTGATCTCTCGGTACATACAAAATTTGAGCAGAACAGTACATGGGGTCACAAGCAAACGCGAAACTTGATAGAGTGACAAAGAGTTGTATGCTAGTGATACTTGAGAAAGATACACGAAAGTAGCGTGAACTAACCCAAGTTTTAGCTCGCCAGCGATGCCAAGATATTTCGAATCGAACGAACACCACCAGCTTAGCACATACACTATGCAATATGTACTTAGAAAGTGCACGGAAGTCAACAGTGCGACCTGACTCGCAAGGGCTAAGCGCTCGAATAAAAACTTATTGATCGTCACTTGCAGTAGAGATACGACCACGGACATAGTACAGTACAGACTTGTGGTAGCACGTGAGGAAAGCGCCCGCATCGATAACCGAGATCGCTATTTAGCCTAAACTCTCTGGCTCAAACGGACTGAAGCGGTATGCCAACTTCTTGGTTTCAAAGATAACCGCGAGCCACCTCGCCAACACCACCGAGTGGATTCCAAACGACTGAAGTGCGAGGCCTCGAGGTGCACGAAAGGGAAGCGTGCGATTCGCAGCAAACCTAGGCTGGTGGTATCACGTAAGGGTGGGGCAAATTTTACCTGCAAGATGCAAGTGCAAAATTGCAGATGCAAAGTGCAGCAGTTGGATTTTGATCCAGCTACCCTCAGCCAATGGCTATATTGAGTTTCACTACCCAGTGTTTTCGCAATTCAGGAATGCAACTGCGAAGGGCCTGGCGCCCGGCGAGCTACCTCGCCAACACTATCGAATGAATGCCAAAAGACTGAGGTTCGAGGCCTCGAGGTGCGCGAGAGAAAAGCCTTTCGCGTGCGATTACTTGCTGATGCGTTGTTCGTCTTCACACGCCTCGTCCCCGCGTGGTCGAGTCGAACACGTGGCGTCGCACGTGCGACGCACTCGCGCGTGTCGTCGATGTCTAGCAAATGCTTTTCATATACTGTTATTCCTTATTTAGTAGTATCTCTGAAGTCGTAAAGGACGGCGAGTCTACCCATATACCTCAGATAGATAATCTCTATTAGAGATTGGGCCATCTCGTCACCCATTGGTGTTTTACCTGTACAAATTTCGGCAAGTTTTCGCAACACGCGACATGTGTGCGCGGATAACGCGCCGACGAGGCAGGGAGGACGTGCGTCGCGATGATCAGTTGTAGATACACGCATGTTACATCAGATTCATCCAGTTTCTGTGGCATACGACGGACATAGCGACGTCCTCACGCAGTTCCTCGCGCTCTGGTACTCCACCCCAAGCTCTCAAGAAACCACGTCTAAACCCTACCTAAACCCTACCTAAACCCTACATAGGGTTTAGGTGTCTATTTCTCGCGAGTGTTCTACGCGCACAAGCGCTCGACGTGTCACTTTCATCCGCGTTACGGGCTTCAGAAAGGGCTTCGAACGCCTTGTGGTGTTCATCGTATCCACTTAACTGTGGTGTCAGCGTGTATTGCACGTGCTGTGCATGTGTCATCAACCCTAACTAGGGTTTGGTTAGGGTTTATCTAGGGTTTAGGCAGGAGTCAAGGTGTCTCCTCACGGCTCTGTCAGAGTGAGGTTGTTCTGCCTATTACATTCGACTGCGCGATTTCTCCTCGCTAGAACGTCAATGATCCGATAGTGTGTGATGGATACTACGTGTGGCGAAGCATGCGCACGTCCTCCCTGCCTCGTCGGCGCGTTATCCGCGCACACATGTCGCGTGTTGCGAAAACTTGCCGAAATTTGTACAAGGTAAAACACAAGTTGGAGTACCCCGATCATACTGTTTACCCATACATAACGTGACCGATTATGACTCTACCCTAACTAGGGTTTGGTTAGGGTTTATCTAGGGTTTAGGCAGGAGTCAAGGTGTCTCCTCACGGCTCTGTCAGAGTGAGGTTGTTCTGCCTATTACAAAATCTCCAAAACTCTAAAAAATTCTCTAAAATTTGCCAAAATTTTAGAGTTTTAGCAATCTCTTTTTCAGCCTCAAGAAAAGGTGTGCACAACCAACCCGGAGATTAGTCAAAATCCAAATTTTGCCCCGAGGCAAAATTTCGTTCGGGCGAGGCGATATTTGCCCAATTTCGCCTCGCGAAATCGGGAAAAGTGAAATTTGAAGTGAAATTTTGAGCGAAATTCGGAAATCTTCTTGGCATCGTTGCGACGACAGCCGTCGCGGTAAGTAAAGAGGGCTGGAAGTATCTTGCGCGCGAAAAAGCTCTCCAATAGAACAAATTTCTCATCATTCCTAGGTTTCTCTAGCCAACTTATGAAAGCCTTCGCGTCGAGTTCTGAAGATTTGACTTCATGCGCATACTCAATCACCAACGCACTCGTGACTACTCGGTGCACCAATTTCAAAAACTGAAATGACCGATGAAGATCAGCACCATTAGATAGGATCTCCACAATCTTCTCCGACCCGAATAGTTTTGAACTCATGATAAAGTTTTTACCGAGTAGAACTACCATAAATTTTGAGCAAGCTCTGATGTACATGGCTTCCTCGTGACCGAGCGGCATGAGCGCGTGGACTCGCTCGCTACAATGGACCTCAGTCAGCGCCGCGCCCAAGTCGTTGAGGATCATGACCCATTCACGCACCCACGGTTCATCAGGCTCACAAAAGCCTCGTACGTTACCGTCTTTCAGCGCTTGATTGGTGAGCGCTCTCTTGTTGCAAGAGAGACCCGGATTGTAAGGCTCCACCGGAAGAGGAATGTACTCAATCCACTCATCCATCGGTGAACCGATGCGGTGAGAATCACCAGAAATTACCCCCAAGACATCATCTTCCGACGCATGGCGATCTACAACGTCAGTTACATACGTTTCAATCACTTCATTATTCGGACCTGTGCTTAAAACCGAAGATCGAGACGCATCTTCATTCAACCATCTCGGCGTCGCTGTCGTGGTTCTAAACCTTGTCTTCACCGACTCGGAGTCATAGGCCGCTTTTGCTTTGACTTCCGCGGTTGAAACTAGTTTCACTTGACCCATGCAATCGTCACACGTTTGCGCTTTCATTGCAAATGTCTTTTTGCATTCTGGACACCATTTACGCACCGCACTCATCTTGGAACCGGTCGCCGTCGCCGCCGCCGCCGTCGCGTCGCCATCATCCACTTGGCCCTCAGATTCATCTCTTGAAAACAATCTCTTGGTCGATATCCCGCTGCCCGACAAAGCGACTTGATCCATATATTCGATTTGTGCAATTCGAATACATTTCGAGGCTAGCACTTCTCGACTCTTTTTGAGAATGTCCAGTTCAGACAAATCACCGCCGCTTGCTTGAGAGCTTGCGACAAGTATGTCACTTGGAACCTTGTTCAGTGGTTTCCAAAGCATCGGTGAATGCTCCACTTCGCCTTGTAAATACCTAGGGCTTTGTTCACCACTCGGCGTTTAAAAAACCGCGCAGAATCGACTGATGATGTGTTCGGTGCCGTCAAGCCTCGCATGTTTGTCCCCACCGTAGTCGCCCTTTGCCACGTTGTCCCACCCGATGACGATATCAACTTTGCGTGGAATCAACTTGCTCGCAACCAGATTCGACACCTCTGAGAATTTTCGCTTCAATCCGGACGGCGAGAACGCACCTGGGATCACCGATGAAACCAATCGCACAGCGCGCTTCGACTGCGTCTTCGCTGCAATGAACAAACCAACTACTTTTCCAAATCCAAAGGAGGCGTGGTCGTGTGCGCCTTTATAAATCGCTGCTATCGCGAGCGCTGTATTTAAGTTACGACGTTTGACCATCCTTTCATCGTTAACATTCGGATGCGCGATCAATCGCTCCATGAGAGACGTGATGATGCGCACCAAAGTCTGCGGCCGAGCGCCCACCCGCAATCACATCAATTTGCACCTTAACGCGCGTTGCGACGTCGAATCGCGACGAAAATCGCTCAAATTTAGAGAGGAAAGTGAAAAAACGTCGACGAATCGATCCGCGGCGTGAACTCGCGCCGTGTTTTCTAAACCCTAGAAAATAGGGTTTACGGTCAACATTGCTCGCCCCAGCGTCGCGTCTCCTTACGACGCCGCGACGCGCGCGCCCGCGCGATCGGCAGACGAAACCGTTCGCGTCCGCGTCCGCGCTCGCGCTCGCGCTCGCGCTCGCGCCGTCGTCGCGCGCGGGTCCAGAAAATCAGCTCTCCAACGCATCGCGACTCGTCGCGTCAACGAGGGGTCTTCGACGGGTCGTGACTCGCGTTTCTCTCGCGTACCCCCTCGCCGGGTTTTTAGAGCCCCCAAAAGAGGTCGATTCACGACTCGTCGTGTGCGCCGTGTCAAAATCCATATACTGCGGGAGGGTCACCGACCCTCGAGTTACACTCTTCGGGTATGGTGACAATACCTTCATTTAATCGATCATGTACAAGTAAAGTTTTCCCAACACAGCCATGTGCACATATGCAAAACTTGCACGTGCACGCATGAATTTCTCCCATCCCTAAACAGTGACGACGCAGTTGGGTCAAGGGTCGAGATCGCCCCAAGGCGTCCAAAAGTCGAGCACAAATGGACAAAGCACACACAAGGCCCATACTTATTACTATTTTCAACCGCAAGCACAACGGCTGGTATTCGTTTAGGAATTGTGCTCTACGTTACAAGTGTTTTTTTATTCTGCTTCTCTCTCTCACGCTGTTTGTCTTGACGTCGTCCACTGCCAGGGAAAACAACATCGCCCTAGTCGACGATAAGCTAGCCCCGGGTATAGAGCACGCATTTTATATCAATTTACATCACAGGTCAGATAGACGCAAACGGATCGAGTATGAGTTACAGCAAGCGAATATTAGTTTCACCCGAATCGAAGCAGTTGATGGTCGTGTAAATTCTTTGGTAAACGAGTGCTGGCTAGGCGCTGGAAATTTTACGCCTTTGCCAGTCCAGCAAGGGAATAATCTTCTGGACGTGTCTCGACGCGGTATGTCGCCCAGAAGCCGTCGCCATCGCACGAGACACTGGTCGATACGACAGACGACGTTGGAAAGGGGAAAACCCGCTCGTAATCACGGAGAGGGACGACGGCGAGCTCGTCATCGTCCTCAATTGTCAAGGCCATCGCCCACCTTCTCGCGTTGTTCCCGTCCGTTTCATTCGCCCATTACGGCGCCTCGCAGTTTGCACGCGTGGACATGACGCCGTGTACACGGTTCTTTCACCACGTCGTACGAAAGCACGTAACTCGCACGTCGTAGTCGGCGAAACGCCGCGCACTGGAGAAGACAGAGACGCACGCGTGGTCGGAGCTCCAAGGTAAAACACAAGTTGGAGTACCCCCCCCCCCCCCCCCCCCCGCATACTGTTTGTTCATACATGGAATGACTGGTCATGACTCATCAAGAAAAGGTGTGCACAACCTACCCCGAGATTAGTCAAAATCCGCAAAATTTGAAGTGAAATTTTTTGGTGGTTCATGACTCGTGACGTCGAGGGGGTCAGTATCGTCCCGGATTTTGACTCGTTCAGAGCATGATGAGTGAGGTTTCAATGACCGTTCATGACTCAAGGGGGCGGTATATGGGTAAACAGTGTGATTGAAGTTTACACGTCTATTCTCTACTTGTGCAATTTTGCAGCACCTCCTCCCCCTGATTGACGCTTTTTTTTCGCTCGTTCAAGCGCGCCTTTCCCTCTTTGCAGCGTATCATCATTGAGTTCGGATCTCTTTTCGTGTTCTATGCGTGGCAAGTTCCCCGTCGGCGAAGCAAACATGTGTATACCAACACCAATCTGAGAGTTGTCAGTAGGCGTGACATGTGTGTTCTCACCACGAGCGTCCTCGTCCTTCTCCTTCAAGAGTACTTCTTCCACGAGTTTGTTGGCGGCTTGATAATGCAGCAGTGCTTTTCGTTGAGCGTTGGGATCGCGTATCTTCTCGACGTTCATGACGTTTGCTCTGACATCATGTAGTTGTTGTGAGATTCTCATGATGGTCGCGACCGAGTTGACGCCTGAGCTGCTCGTGCTCTTTCCCAATTTCTCGATGTCTTCATCTGACATGCGACGATTGCCTGGAGCGCGGAGATCGAGAGGTTCAGACTTCACATTCTGATTAAGGTCCAATGCGCCTAGTGTATATGCCTCACTCGCCTGTGACATGGCGTGTAACTTGGCGAAACAAAGTTCATCGTTCATGCCAAGTGTGCAGTTACATGTCACGAGCTGATGCAACCGCTGCAGCGCGCAACATCGAAGGAGGTGAAGATTGGCGACTTTGTACACTTGAACATCGGCGGAGTTCTTATCGGTTATCGTAACCACTGTTGATTCCATGATGTCTTTGCGCTCGGTGGGGCAGTACGTCAAACATGTATCCGTCAACTTGAACTCCACGTTCTTACCCGCCTGTTGTCGACCGTACTCCTGAAGCATCTTGAGATATTTAGAGCGGACGTAATCGGGCAAACGTAAGTTACTCACGTGTTCTCGTGCGACGAATTGGTTCAGCGCGACATCCAGTAGAAAAGAGCACAACCAATCCATGCGGCGCTGCTTTAACCATCTACTGTTGTCCTCTTCACGTGCGAGACTCTTGATGAAATTGTGGTAAGATTCTGCGGTGGAGGTGGTATCAATGCCATATTTGCCGCATGTACGGAAGACTTTAGCCCATAATCTGTAAGTGTGTAACCACTGACGCTCGAAATATTTTCCATACTCCCTGACTGTGGCATCGTCGCACATCTTGCAGAACTCCATGAAGGTGTTGATTTTTCTATAGAAGTTGTCTAATCCTTCTTCGACGTTGTGGGGTACAAAAGCAATGCCACATGGTTGTATTTGTGTATAATGACCCTACGCTGCTTGTTCCCCTCCCTTTCTTGTAACTAGGAAAAACGCGGAACTCTGTGGCGGCGTCGCACTGCACGCCGCGGCGAAAATCTAGCAACCTCTCCGCCGGGATCACTGCATGCAGCCAATTACTCTTACTCGCGCTTTTCTCGTAAGGCCACTCAACATCACATTGCCAAACGATATCTCGATGTGAGAACAATCCCGCAGGCGGTGTCGATACGAAAAACTTCGGCGGATTGCGCTTGGAATCTCGCACCTTGAAAGCTCGCATGCTCCTGGCGTACTTGGTTTGCCTGGCCCCGGGGCCTTGGCCATTGTCAGAGCGAGCAGTGTCCACGTAAAAAGTCAGCCAGAACCCGTGACATCGCGTAACGCACAGCTCAGAGTCCTTTCCGACGGTTGGAAACGAAAACACCGTCTCGTACTCGTCGACGGGGACGATTCCGAGCGCGTCATCGTCAACCTGGGAGGGCACCATCACCCCTTCCCCGGCATCTTCTGGCCGCGTGTATCACGTCGCGGCCGGGTTTGACGAGTCGTCGCGACTCTCACGTCGCAGCGACGGCGTCCCGCGCCGCGTTGGCGCCGTCTCCCCCCGCCGTCGTCGCGCGGGGAGCCGACGTCTGCCGCGATGGCGACGCAGGGAGCTCGGCGTCTCGTCACAGTCCCTGTCGGTGAGTTATGACTCGTCAAACGTTTCTTGAGTCATGAACGGTCATTGAAACCTCACTCATCATGCTCTGAACGAGTCAAAATCCTATCGTCCCGAATATCGTCGCGCATCTCCCCCGTGGTGAAATTTAAAAACGAAAACTCGTGCCCGACACTCCATCGCGCGCCATGGCGCACGCGCCGCACCCGCACGCCTCAGACGCGGCCGCTCTGGGGTCGGCGCACGTCGCCGTAGACGAAGCGGAGTACGCGGGTGCTCGCGAGTCGCTCGCGTCGCAGGACACTGCCGCGGGCGGGCGGCGGAAGAGCGGCATCCCTCGTGGTCCGAGCTGGACTCCTTTTGAACAACTCGCCGCGCTCGACGCATACTTCAGCGCGTGCGAAGTCGTGCAAGAGAGTAGGGAGGTCGATCGATGGCAACACGCTAACAAGCAGTACCCCCATTACGTTCGGGAGCTCGCCGCGTTGGGTCTGTGGAAACCATCGACGACCGTACACGGCGCGAGGACGCCCGAGGAATCCATCGACGCACGTCGGTGCGAAGAAGTCAACGAACACGGTGTCGTCGGAGCGAACAAGACTGTGTTCGAACGTGGAAAGGCTGTGAAGGCACACGTGCTCAAAGTCGCGCACGTTTTCCGACGTGGTTTCAGAGCGTGCGGAAACCAACAAGGCGAGTCTGGAAAAGCCCGTCAGGACTTTTGGGACAAGCAAGAGACCGAAGCTTTGAAAGAAAAACATTCAGAAGCGACCCTTTGGGTGTTCAGGTACGTGGCGCCAGACTCCCCGTATCTCGATCCCGCTGCGTACAGGACGCTGAAAGAACGGGCGAGACCGGAGTTCGCGCTAAGACACGAAGACAGGTGCACTTCGGCTGCGAACACTGCCAGTCGGTTACAGCAGCGCACAGCGGCGGCGACAGCACGTCGCGAGTCGGTACATCCGATAACCATGGCGCCGGATAAGTCACCTACGCGTGCTATGAGAGAAGAGGCGCTCGAGCGACAGGTCATCGAGGAATTGCGTCGTACCAACGATGTGCTTGAAATGATGATGCGCTTTGTCACGCAAGGTGAACTTCAACTTCCAGCGCGAACGGGTTCGGAGGCGCCTTCCAATGCGCCGGCTGACGAAGGCGAAGCGACTGAGCCGATCGGAGCCGAAAACACGATCAGTGCCGAGAACATTCCCTCGAGCGTCCCACCGGTGACACCTGCAGAGATCATCATGCCTCACGGTACCACTGAGCCGAACGTTCTGTGTGAGGCGAGCGCAGCGTCGCCGGTTCGGAAACGTGCTCGAGAAGAGACATCCGTACTGCAGGTGAATTCGCCGACTCGCCGATCTACACGAGAGCGTCACACTCCGCTACGCTTACAACGCCTGTCATGATGCCCTCTTCAACATGCTCATTCACGTTTTACCGTTACGAGCGTCGACCCCGAAGATCACAGTTTTGTTTTTTTGTATTACATGTTGTCATCATTATCATTCGGTCGTTGTACACTCGACTTACAGTTGCGCTATTTCATTGAGGACTTCGTGTTCCTTGTCATTTCGCAGCGCTTCGAAATGATATTTGAAATGCTTAGTCAGAGCACTCCGCGTTTGATGCATAGTAGGAGGCTGGTGTTTGAGCGGCTCCGGGGCATACGCATAGTTCGCAACGTCGAAGTTGGGACCGTACACGCGGTGCATATCAGCCGCGTTGACTCGACGCCAATCATTAAACTCCTCGCATGGGTCGGGGCGTGTCATGTTGTACAGACATGCGCAGACCTTCACGACACTCTCGCAGTCACCCTCATGGTGTCTCGTCATTGGATGGGCGAGAATTGCAAACTTCTTCTTCATGATACCAAAAACGCACTCGATCTCTTTGCGGAGAGATTCGTGCCAGCGCGTCCATTTCGCGTCCCACGAGCTCGGGATTGGTCGCTTGATGGAGCTCACCGTTGTAGGCCATCTGTGGTAACCATCGTCCGAGAGAACGTACACGCCCTGGATGGTTTCGAACGCGTCATCACTGACTCGAACGATCGATCTCTGTTGCGTATAGAGTGGGTCTTCGCGCATTATCACGCTTTGGAAATGGTCGTCGTTAATCTTTGTCTTGTCGTTCGTGTTTCCCGCTGACCACTCAGACACGTAGATTATTCTGCCGTGGTAGTCACACGTGACGTTGAAACCTAGGGAAAAGCCGCCGTGGTGATCTGCGTACATGTATCGGCGTCCAGAGCGGTACGCGCCGTACGGCACGTGCACACCGTCAGTGCACCCGATGGCTCCGGGGAACCCAGCGTGCTCGTACGGCCACAGCAACTGGCGCAGTTCTTCTTCTGACTGCGGATAACGAACGTGATTAGGATACTCTCTATCCAACATCCACGGGATGAACTTGTTCCAAAACCAATCCCGCAGCGTCCGCTTGTCAACGTTCACTTGGTTTTCGACAGCGTCCCACGGACAACCATAAGCCAAGTACAGAAGCGCTCCAATCAGTTTTATCTTTAGCGGGCACGCCGTGCTCCTCTCCTCCATGAACGCGTCTGTATTCATGCGTTCATAGAGAGCATGAAACGTATGAAATGGAAGCCTGATTTTCGCCGCGAACTCGCCGCGAAGCACCGCCTCACACTCCGGTTCGGGCTCGTAATCATTCGGTGGCGTCAAGTTCAAGTACTGCGAGAACGTTGAACCATCGCGCCAATCGCGGAAGTACAAAGCGTTCCCCGTACGCTCGGGCGCATCAGCAGACGTGTCGCGGTTTCGTGCCCTGCGCTTCACGTGCATGCGTGGTGCACGCACGGGATTCGCGTGCAACGGACGACAGCGAAAGATGAAGTCATCGCGTCGTCGCTTCCTTCTTCGTAACAGCAGCAGGTGGAGGAAGCAACGCTGGCGCTGTACGAGCGCGATAACTGCGCATAGTGCCGCATACGTCCTGTTCACATCCATCGTCAGTGCGCGGTCGACTCAAGCGATGCGTTGTGCCGCCGGCGAACATACGAACGTCCGGAAACGACTTTTTTTTAACCCTTTCCTCATTCTTGCCCGCGTCGCGCCCACGCACGTCCACACGCCTATACGTTCAGGGGCACGATGCGTGCGGTTGAAAACATCGTCAGGACGTCTTGAGCCTCGCGAACGGCTCGATCGCGATTCCGACGTACGGCTCGCGCGTCATCTTTCGCGTCAGAGCGAGCACGTTTTGACTCGCGCGAAGTGCGCGCCCTGGACGCGCGCGCAACGCGCGTGCCCACGATCCGCGGCGCGGAGTGCGTCAGACGAACGTTCTCCTTCGCTTCCGCATTCGGTGAAGGGCGAAAAAACTCGACGCGCGCGCGTGGGAGTGCGAGCGGTTCGGTACATTTCCCAACCATCCTTTCCCCAAAACCAGTACCGAGTCGACCGAATTTGAATTTTCATCACAAATTTCACCACCCATCTCCCCCGTTGCAATAATTACGCCTATCCGGACAGAATTACCGAAACGAAAATCAAAGTGAAATTTTCGTTTCACAATCTATCTCCCCCCAGCCTGCCAGTGCATCAGGGTAGAACCACAAGTATCGAGCTCTGTATAGGGACATCGGATAGCGCCTTTTTCTGTGTGGACTCTGCGCGGCGTGAGAGCCGAGGTGTTGCCTTGGAGCTCCGGGTATATGACTTCCATAATTTTACTTTGTGCACGCTTCAGTACAGAGTCAAAATGTGGCGTTCCTCTGCTTAAGAACATGGTATCACCAAAAGATCCGAGTATGCCGACCTCGACATAACCCTTTCGCATGAGAATTTGTAGAATGTCCTCGGTTGGTCTTTCTATGGTGAACATGTAAAAGGAATACTTGTCAAAAGGCAAGTGCTTGAAGACCACGGACTCTGCACCTTCGACATCAAGAGAGAAGTAATGTATTACGTTCGGTACTTGAATTCGGCTCAGTATTTCATGCAAGCTCACAGTATACAATTCTTCTGTACCGGTTGTACTATTATCATCTTTGTTATCATAGTGCGCACCGACAATTCCACCGAGCTCACCGTTCGACTTCTTGAACCGAACTAACTCGTTCTTGTTGCCAACCACAGCCCCAACGAGTTTACAGCGTCTCTGGAGATGTCCCTTCCAGTAACGCTCATTAGGTTCGATGCAGAGGCCGTTCCAATCGTCGTAAGTCTCGAGAGAACGCGAGTTGGAGAGTTGGCTCCAGTCGTTTGCTGCTAAGTCAATAAAGTAGTGGCCTCCGTCTGGAAACATCGCCCGTACGACTACATCTTGGTGAACCTGTGAATGGCTTTTCCATTCGTTCTGCTGACTTTTAGCGTGGATCCCAACGTACACATCGATGGTCTTCCAACCTGTTTCTAGCTGAACTTCTGAGGGGCGAAGATGGGAGCGGAAAGAGAAAAACGAGATAAACGAAAATGACAGCAACATGCAGAAGGCGGCACTGCCATGGCGGATAGATCGTCCGATGATCATATTCGGCGACGACGAAATCGCAATATTCCCGATCGAATGCGATTCTGAGTGCGCGATGTCTTCCAACCAAATGATATCAGGTCGGGTTTTGAAGTAGAAAGTGAAGTTAGGCTGAAAAAGAGATTGCTAAAACTCTAAAATTTTGGCAAATTTTAGAGAATTTTTTAGAGTTTTGGAGATTTTCCGACTCTAAAATTCAATTATAGAGATTGGCAATCTCTATAATTCTATAATTTTTAGAGAAAAAGGGGCTCGTGACTCGTCGCGACGACGAGTCAATTTTAGAAAATAGCGGGTGAAGAAGAGATTGCTAGGACCGCGAGCCGAACCGGCATTCGTCGCCATGCAAACGCCGAGTGCGGAGCGCGCCGAAGCGCCGGACGCATTCGAATCGCAGTCCGACGCGACGGGAAACGATGTGCACGACCACGTGCCTCTGTCCGCGCTACGCACCGTCGTTAGATCGTCTGGTGGCGCGCCCTCTGCGGCGAAAGGGGGGCGCAACTACGCGTGGACGAACACCGAATCGCTCGCCGCTTTACTCGCGCGCGAAGGCGCCAATAACAAAGAGCAGCGCGAGAAGACTGATGTCAGGGCCAAAGACTGCCAACGTCGCTTCATCGGTGCACTTCGCGTCGTAGAAGCTTCGCACGCGGAGCTCGAGCAGAAGAACATATCCGGCCCATTTTTGCCCATCCTCTACCGCGAAGCGAACGTCGATATGGCCGCGACGCCGCAACAAGCGGCGACGCAACGCGGTGGAAACGAAGGCAAATCGGTGCTTGTACGCGGAGACGCGATCTACGCGTGCATCGTCAAGCACGTATTACCAGTCGCCCGCAGAACGTACACGCATCGTGAGTCGGGCATCAACTGGATGGACGTCTCCGCGGCTGTCAGCGCGCATGTCGACGCGTTGCTGACCGCAGAGCCACCGCTGAGTAAAACGGACCGCGAATTACTATCTGCAGCTCACTATGCATGGCAGTGGACGTGCCCGGAGAATCCCGATGTCTGCGCGTCGTCGACGCTAAGCAAGCACGCCTTGATGAGCTTCAACCTCACAAAGACCCTCGCGCGTCCCGCGGAAGCGTATCCCCAGAACCGCGCGGACCAGCGCTCGCGGAAAGCGTTGCGTGAGACATCGCAACGCGGTGCTGTGGCTGCAATGCGTGCGACTGACTCCGCGCAAAAGCGAAGGCGTGAACAAGATGAACTTCGGACGTCCCTTCTCAAGAAGAAGACTCAAGTTTTAGCGCTGCTCGAGGAGGAGCTGCTGGCCATGCGAGCAGAGCGACTGCGCGAATCTAACCCATCCGACGACCATCGTGTGGGACTCATCGCATCCGGTGCGACCGATTCCCATGCACGCGCGGGTGGACTCACGTTTGCCGAACGCCTCGAACGCACAGATGAGGAAGAAGCATCGAACGAAAACGCTGACGAGTGCGCGACCGACGTGGCGCGCGCAACGGAACCTGCGATGTCACCGGCACAGGAAAACGTTCCGCCGAACGACTCTCACGGGCGCGACGCGCAGACTACGGCGTGCCAGGTACCAGTCACTACCACTCAGGACGAAGCATGTGTGCCATCTACTGATGTCACGCCCGCGTGTACGCCGCGACGATCGGCTCGCGCATCGAAGCCCAATCTGCGTTTGCAACGTGTGTAAACGACGCGTCCACGTCGAGCTCTCGCATAATAATACATGTACATTACATTGCGGCGCGCTGCAAGTGTACTATCTCTCCATTGTCACTCCGGACTACTCTTCGACGAGTGGCATGTAGGTGGTCTACCCCACCAAGTTTTGTAAGACTGTTGAAATGAATTATCAAGCTGTTCTGGCGTGTCCTATACGCTTCAAGCTGTTCTACACGCGTAGCGTCAAGGTGCGAAGTAGTCCGTTGAATCATTCGAGCCCTTGCTATTCTCCTGTCCAGTGCGGTGTCATCCGTGTGTACAACGGCATCGACAACTTCCGCAGAGTGTCCTGCGTTTCTGTCCCGCCGCTCAGCCAAACGATGCGCGTAATATTCCGCGTCCTCCACGTCACGCTCGTGCCACACCTGGACCACAGCGGCATCTTGCTCTTCAAAATCTCCCACATTCACAGCCTCTAGCCGAGAGTTGTAATCTCGCAACAACCGTCACCGTGTGAGTATGTTGTGTAAAACAAGACACGTGCGCCACGTATCTTTGATTTGCTCGAAGTCACGAGTAAGCGACGGTATCCGTAGTATTTGAAATCGTTTTTTCAGTTGCCCAAAACACCTCTCAACATCTTTTCTCACTGACTCCAGTCTTTCGTTCCATGCGTACTCGAATTCCGTCGGGGCGGAGATTGTCGCCATTTTCGTACAGTGCGTGTTGAAACCACCATCACATATCGTATACACTCCTTTCGCCGTGACAGTGTTTCCAGACACATCAAGTAAATCATACTCGTAGTCCGAATACAGCGTGTTTGTTTGCAGTGCGTTGTGGTACTCATCATCATTTGTCGTTCGACGCCCCGGGACCTACACGCGTCGCGTGTAGTACGATGCAGTCATTATCGACTGTGACGACACTCGCGTACGTTGCTGCACCCTTGCGCCCGTTATAAAACATTCGATTGGTCACAGCGGGTGCAGCATCCCAAGGCATGTGGACAACGTCTACGCTACCGACGCAACCTGGAAAACCCTGCGCGCGATACGCGCGCTCCGTTGCGCGTATACTGTCCAGTGTTTTCGGATAGTGCACGTGCCTCGAGTAATACGCGTCACTCGAGAAGTACGGGACGAACTTCCGCGTGAAGAACTCTCTGAGGACAGGTCTGGACACGAATGCACACTCCGCTATAGTCGGCCAGTGCGCACCACTCGCGAGACGCTTGAAGCTCGCCATGAGCAATAGCCGAGGAGGCACACTCGCACTTCTCGTTCGCTTCCGGAAAACCCCTGCTGTCGTCATTTCATCCTCGAAATCGCAGAACAACTCGTGAGGAATTCGAAATCTCTCCTCGAACTCGTCCAACAGCAACGGATGGCTTTCGACGTTCTCGCGGTCGATGTACTGGTGCCAGAAGCCCGTACCCCACTCGCCATACCAGCGCGCGTGGCCCTGGCGGTCACGAAAGCGCGGCCGCTCCCGCAAGAAAGCCTGCCTTGGACGTCGAAACGCCTGCTGGGAGCCGGCGTCAACATCCTCTTGCGATGACACGTCCTCATCGTCGTCCTCGTCACTGAAGGATCCAGTAAGAAGAGCGGTGTGGATGGCGGCGAGACGACGTACCGTCTCCGCGCGTCGCCTCACCATCGCGTGACTCCCACGGCCCGACGTCCGCAGCCTACGCGCCCGCGACTGACGACGTGACCGCAATCGCCAACCACCCGCGCGCATGCACACTGTTTAATCATATGAACTTCAACCCATCACGTCGTGCACACCGCGATGTTCCACGCCAAACCCTGGACGTCGCTAGACGCGCATGGTCCGCGGCTTCCATCAAGCGAGCGAGCGCGCCGTTTCATAACTCGGGCCCGAGTTAGGAGGATTTTCACGTCATTTTCATAACTTTAATGAAAAAAGCTTTCTGTTACCCCCATTTTTCTCATAACTCGGACTTAAAGTTATGAAAATGGCTTGCTGTTAGTCGCCCTTAGTAAAATTTTAGCGATCTCCCTTTCAGCCTTTTGGCATTCATTTCTATAGGGTTTAGTGTTGGCGAGGTAGCTCGCCGGGCGCCATGCCCCTCATTTGGGGCGTGGCTAAATCCCACGGTGAAGCAACTTTTTATCAATTGACCAACGTATAATGTATTGAATTTCTAAACTATCAAACAGCGATAAATCTGTCGAAAATCCATTCACATACGACCAATCAGGACTCACATCTGTGAGAGGGGGGATGGCTAAATGGATTTTGACTAATCTCGGTCATGGTTGTGCACACCTTTTCTTGAGTGAGAATTTTAGCAATCTCCCTTTCAGCCTGAAAGGGAGATTGCCAAAATTCTATAATTTTGATACTTCATAATCGGTCACGTCATGTATGGGTAAACAGTATGAGTGGGGTACTCCAACTTGTGTTTTACCTTGAACAAATTTCGGCAAGTTTTCGCAACACGCGACATGTGTGCGCGGATAACGCGTCGACGAGGCAGGGAGGACGTGCGCATGCTTCGCCACACGTAGTATCCATCACACACTATCGGATCATTGACGTTCTCACGAGAAGAAATCGCGCAGTCGAATGTAATAGGCAGAACAACCTCACTCTGACAGAGCCGTGAGGAGACACCTTGAATCCTGCCCAAACCCTAGATAAACCCTAACCAAACCCTAGTTAGGGTTGATGACACATGCACAGCACTGCAATACACGCTGACACCACAGTTAAGTGGATACGATGAACAACACAAGGCGTTCAAAGTCCTTTCCGAAGCCCGTAACGCGGATGAAAGCGACACGTCGAGCGCTTGTGCGCGTAGAACACTCGCGAGAAATAGACACCTAAACCCTATGTAGGGTTTAGGTAGGGTTTAGGTAGGGCTTAGGTAGGGTTTAGACGTGGTTTCTTGAGAGTTTGGCGTGGAGTACCAGAGCGCGAGGAACTGCGTGAGGACGTCGCTATGTCCGTCGTACGCCACAGAAACTGGATGAATCTGATGTAACATGCATGTATCTACAACTGTTCATCGCTGCGCGCGTCCTCCCTGCCTCGTCGTCGCGTTATCCGCGCACACGTGTCGCGTGTTGCGAAAACTTGCGGAAATTTGTAGGTAAAAAACACAATGGCTGTACCCTAGGACCTCATACTGTTTGCACATATACAAGTTTTAGAATGTCAATTTCAATAGTTTAACGCGAGAACGCTCATTCGCTGAATTGGAAAATCATCCACCCAAGGTCCGGCGGAACGGTTCAGAGGGATAATGGCTTGAATAGATAGTGTACTATGCAATTGTATTTATATATATTTAGACAGTCTTTACTAGATATTAAACACGACATATGTGAATGATAAAAAGTTGCTTCACCGTGGGATTTAGCCACGCCCGATTTAGCCACGCCCCTCATTTGCATTCCTGAATTGCGGAAACACTACTTCGTGAGACTCAATATAGCCATCGGCTGAGGTTAGCTGGATCAACCAGAGCGTGCAGGCATATTTCGAAGTTTCCGGAATCAGCCCTTCAGCCTTGAACGCCGTCTCTCTAACATATTGAAGCGACGTGCTCCTACGACACTCAAGCTTTGTGTGGGGATGAAATGCAAAAAAGCTTCGTCTTTGCATCCCTTTCGCTCGCTATCACTCTTCCTCTCTTGATCGGTCCTTATGCGTTCGTGAATCGAGAAATCCTGCACTGGACTGAAAGAGGGGAACAAAGTGACGTCGCCTCAATCGCGGTTCTAGTAGTCGGTAGAGAGAGTAGAGAAGAGGTTCTCATAACTTCTGCGAAATCGCTTACTCAACACGTGACGAATCCGTTGAAAAATAAGTATAAACGCGTCGTCACAATGTACTGTCTACAAAGTATTGCTCCAAGCACGATACCACACCTGCTTAACTTTGGCCCTGGTATTACAAGTACTACCGGTAGTAGTGAAAACAATATACTAACATTCAATGCCACGGGGCAATTCGAACGCCTTGAGTTATGTTTCAACATGCTTGATGAGCGTCATGGTAACTTCACTTTCTACTTCAAAACCCGACCTGATATCATTTGGTTGGAAGATTTGAAACTTTCATTTCGTGCTGAGGCTATCATGTTGCGGGCGCGACGTATCAGCCAAGGAAGAATAACGATGCAGCATCGTAGTTGGCCCGGTGGCTGTGACTGTGAGCAATCTGGTTGTGTTATGGTGGATTCTATGGTTGCAATAGTGCCGTACATATGGAGATGGGCATACTTTAGCACCTCCACGGAGATAGAGTCGGTCATGGCTAAGAACTCGAGTGAATCAAAAGTGGATGAAGACGAGGGTAGACTTTTCCATCTGACTAAGGACTGGGAAACAAAGTGCCCTTGTGCTAAATTTTGGGCTGAGGGACGTCTAACGCTTCGCCTTGCCTCTCACGAGGTAACCGTCCTTGTAGAGGCTTTCAATTTTGTGCTTGCGCCACCAACGAAAGATGGGTCACCTTGGAGACAGGGTGCATGGGGCACTCGTGTACATGATGGTAATAATTGGTTTACGTGTGAATGAAGGACTCCAATTCTGCTGGACTGCTTGAAGTGGGATCAGGAATAATTCCTGTAAGACTGTTGTGATGAATAATCAAGCTGTTTCGGCGTGTCCTGTACGCTTCGAGATCTTCTACAGACGTAGCGTCGAGGTGCGACATAGTCCACTGAAGCATTCGAGCTCTTCCGATTCTTATATCCAATGCAGTGTCATCCGTGTGCACGACTTGCGCGGCGTACTCGAGCCGGGCATCGACTTCGACACCGACATGCGGCAATCGACTCTGTTCTACGCCGTGACCCCGCTACCGAACGCAGAGTCAAACGCATACGTCAAGTTTTCGTGCACCTGCGTCGGGGACAAGAACAAACGAGGCTATCAGTACTCGCGAAAGTGTAAACACGTGTTCGCAGAAGGCTTCATCACCAAAACCATCGACACGCTCCCCTAAGGGTTCAACCCAGTTGATACGGCGCCTAGGCCCGGTCGAGGCGCCGCAATGCGCCCCGCGCTGACGCATCAATCGACAACGGGCGAACGGGTTCGCTCGATCGGCTTACCAGAGAACTACCGACTGTCCTGAAGAAGAGGGGAAAGAATCCAGCTCTTGGACCGGCCGGGATACCCGCTGAGCTCTCGCGCTACGACGACGCGGCGGTCAAGAGACCGCGCATGAAGCGCGCGTGGACTCCAATTTTGTAAATAACGACCCCAGGGCCTATCCTTCGTCCACCGCGCGCGGCGTCGCGCGCTGACGTCCACTCGTTCCGTAAGACTCACTGTGCACCAGCCTCGAGCGTTTACACGTTTCTCAAATCCAGTTGGCACCGATTGGCGTGATCGAAGTGCGATCTACTTTGTATCGACTCAACGACCGATGTTTTGGAGAAATGACGTGTATACCGTCGGCTTTATCTTACACGAGAGATGCCACGGAAAATGACACAGCGTCTGTCGATTACTTTTCGAAACTTCATTTTCCGGGTAAAACATTTTGACGCCACGTCGATCTGCGTCAATCTTGCGTTCGAATGTCGAGCGAGGCGGACCTTATCGCAAAGACGGCAGCATACTTTACCGCGTGGAACTGTCACGACATCGCCGCGTTGCGTACACTGTTCAGTACGCATATCGAGCTGCATGATTGGAACGTGAGAGTCACAGGAAAAGAGGAAGTGATAACAGCGAATGCCGATCTTTTCGATGCCTTTCCGAACGTCTCCATAGATATCGTAGACACCCTCGTCTGCGTTTCTAAACGCGCCGTCACGTGTGAAATCATCGTGCATCTGAACGACGCGGCGAACGCGACGTTGATCGTGGTGGATGTACTCAGGTTTAACAAGGAGAGCGAGATAAGCAGCGTTTGCGCGTACAAGTTGTGAAAGTCTAACCGAGACTGTGAATGTAACGAATGCGATATTAAATTTTGTATCGCGTCCAAGTCGTGTCGTAAGGGTGTGTGAACGCGTTCGCGAGTCTGATGATGTATAGGAACGGGAAGTTGGGTTCGCTCAGTTTACTGGCGTCGATGCATCCAAACCACACCGCCACGAAGAACGGAAAACCCGCTAAAGCGCAGCTCACCTGCACGCACCGTTCGCTACTCGGTATCTCCAAGTCGTCACGCTTTTGTCTTTCATCGTAATACGCGTTTATGAGAGAATCGGCCAAAAGCTTGAAGTTCGTTATTTCGCAGCTTTCAACCAGAAGAAAGACGACGTCTTCGATACCTTGTCCGGGACCGGCGTATTGCCAATCGATGAAAATCGGTTCGCCGCCCTTGACGCCGTAATCCCAGAATAAGTTTGGAAACTTCAAGTCACCGTGAAGCAAAGTGCAAGGTTTCCTCAATAGTTGTGCCTCGGCGTCCTCATAAAATGCTGCGGCGTGATCGAAGAGCTCTGATCACCCGCCCCCTCCACAACCCCTCCCGCGCAACCGACGCCAAGCGCGCGTGCCACCGGTGTCATGCGAGGCTCCAGAGCAGCAGCAAGTGCCTGCTGTTGAGTTCCCCGCTGGCGCTGGCGCACCTGTAGTCACGAACGAGCGCGCAGGAGACGATCAAGACGCACCACTGCGTGGTCAAGACGCGACGCACCGCGCGCAACAGCACGTCACCGAGACACAAAACGCTCAGGAGGCGGACGCACACGGTCGCAACGACCCCTCCGACGTTGTCGAGACGTCCGAGCTCGACGCACCCGACGCACCCAGCGTTGGGGAGGCGGAGACTGAGGCCGAAGAATTCCAAGCAAGGGGCGTCGAGAGCGAGCTCGCGGACGGGGAATTTGTGGATGCACAAGACGACTCTTTCCTCTTACAAGGGCTTTCAGAACAGGATGGTGAAGACCCCAGCGCTCTTGGAGACGCAGATCCCAGAGATCTGCCGGCCTTGGCGCAGGAAGAAGAAGGACCTGAACCACCGCGTCGATCATCACGAACGACGGCAGGAGTCCCGCCTTCATATTACGGACACCACGCGCTCCCGAGCAACCCAGAGGCCGGATATGAAGCACTGGATGCTTCCAAACAGAGCAGTGCTCAGAGAGAGCTACTAGCGGCAATCAGCGCAGCGACCACCGAGACGCCAAGTGGGACGATGCTTTTAGACGCGCGAGCGTTCAGCACCGGGCGGAGTTCGAAGGTCAAAGATTGGGTTAAGAGTTTGGGCATCAGTGGAGAAAAGATAAATGTACTAGACTGCTGCTCGGGGGAAGGCGGTGGTAGTATAATGCGGACATTGAAAAGATCGGGAGTCTCACACTTGTTCAACGTATGCACAGTGGACTCAGAACCGGAATGCGCCCCAGATGTGCTGATGAAAGTGGAAGATCTTGCCGAAGCCATAAAAGGCGGATCCGCTCCATCAGTCATAAGAGACACGCACTGGCACATAGTGTGGACCTCTCCACCATGCACACGGTATTCAGCGGCGAACAGTCAACGGGACGCAGAGAAAACAGAGGACGATTTGAGAGTCGCAGACGCAACTGTAGAAGCCTGTTTCGCTATCATTGACATGCTGAAGCCCATATGCTGGTTTCTGGAGAACCCCGATACAGGAGCAAACCGCCTAAGAGACAGACCGTTCATGGAGAAGTACAGGCACCTCATGAAGTCTGTGACGTACTGCCGATACGGGCGACCGGACAGAAAAGCAACAATGATCGTTTCAAATGTTCCTTTGACATTATTAGACTGCAGAGTGCAAGGTCAAGAATGCATGACAAAGAAACTACTTGGACGACATTCACGGACTGCTCAAGCAGGATCATTCACGGCCGCCGATGGAACGACCATCCCGGGAACCCCGCAGCACGAATCACAACAAGTACCGGAAGCACTCATCGAACATGTGTTCGACTCAGCATTACACACATTTGGCCAAGAATTCGAACACGCTCTGATTGACACCGACCGCGACGCTCGAGCACAGCTGCTCGTCGCAGCCGCAAGGATCACAATTACACAATCAGAGAAACCACCGAGAATGAAGACGCAGGCGTATGCTATACTCGGCGTGGGCGAACGTGAGCTCGGCGCAAAAGTCAGGAGTATTGGAGAAGTGCCAAAGGAAGAAGTTTTAGCGGCGAAGAAGAAGGAAATAAATGGATTATTCAGCAAGAAGGTTTTCTCGATTGTTCACAAGAAAGACGTCGAACAGGACGCGCAAATCATGTCATACGTTTGGGCTCTGAAGGTCAGAGACGACGACGTCGTGAAGGCCAGACTGTGTGTCGGGGGACACAGACAGTCGAAAGGACAAAACTTCTGGGAGATCTCATCTCCAACGCCGCGAGCATCGACAGTGAAGATAGCGCTGGCCGAAGCCTCAATGAGAGGAGCTGACGTTTATACCGCAGACGTTTCACAAGCATACGTAGCCGCCCCCATCGGCGTGCGACTGTACATGCGCATGCCCCCTGAGATGGAAGAGAACCACCCCGACTCCGTCCTTCTATTGCACATGAGCCTATACGGAGCCAAGCAGAGCGGACGAAATTGGTTCCAGGAGGCGTCAAGAATCCTCTGCGATGAATTACGCTACGATCAGTTGCAGAAAGACCCATGCAAGTTCGTAAGGTGCAACGCCGACGGGTCACTACGTGAATCCATCTTACTCTACGTAGATGACTTCCTCTTCTTGGGAGAATTACAATATTTCAACGCATTCATGGACAGCATGAGTAAGCACGTGGAAATATCGGCAGGTCCGCGGAGCCGCGACGTCATCAAGATTTGGAATGGACTCGAGATTCGAAGACTTCAAGACGGCAAGATAGTCGTGACCCAAATCGCCAAGATACGAGGGATTTCACGTGATTTCGGTGCGGAGATCGAGGAACTTGAGAGGCGATCATCCGCCAAAGCGACAAGCCCGGAATATTCGAACGAGAACAACTTCGACCCACGAGATATGATTGACCCGAAGACGGCCGATGCCCGCGAAAAGCGTATCGTCCAGAAATATCAGGAAATGGTCGGGTCGCTCATGTACGTAGCGACGTACACACGGTTCGACATCGCGTTCGCGATGAGCAAAGCTTCCAGACTCATGCACGCGGCATCAGAAAAACACATTCGTGGTGCAGCGCGTATCATCAAGTATTTGAGGGACAACGAGAATGTCCCGCTCGTCTTCGACGGCAGTCAGTGCGCGAACGACGGAGAGCCGAAGATATTCTGCTTCGTCGACAGTGACTTTGGCGGTGAACCACTTCACACCAAGAATGAACTCGACATGGGCAGAAGGTCAACGAGCGCGTGCATCATCATGTGCAGCGGAGCACCTATTTTCTGGAAAAGTAAAGTTCAGAAGAAAGTGGCGCTCGCGTCCGGCGAGGCCGAGTTCCGCGCACTAAGCTACGCACTCAAGGAAGTGACTTTCTGCATTTACTTACTACGCGAAATGGGATTCAATACGAAGTACGTACCCATTTTTTGTGATGCTTCAGTGGGCGTGGCTCAAGCGAAGCGCGATGGTCTCTCCTGGGTAGAAGGTACCAAACAGTACGAAATTGAACTTTCGGCGGCATACCAAATGTGCAGAGAAGGAATGATCATGCCTCTCAAGATCGGCACAGATGAGAACCCAGCTGATCTCCTGACGAAGTCGGACCCCGGAGGACCAGAAGTCAGAGCTCGGCACGTTTCCAGGATCTCAGGCACGTCGAAGGAACCGTTTCAATCCTGGATCAGGCGACAATTAGCTGACTTTCAGGGATCGTCGGTGTCGCGGCACGGACACGTGTCAAAATCAGATTTCGAGCGCATGTGCGGACTCGGAAATTACAAGACAGTACAAACGAATAAGAAGTAATTGAGGAGAATTTTTACACGGTCGTAAAACGATCACAATTTTTATCTCACTCAAGGATCAGCACAGAATTGGCATCTTCAGAACCCGTTGGGAGGCGTGATGGAAAGGCTCGGCTCTTTCCTATCTTCAAAGGGCTCTAAATATGGAGAATGATAGTAAAGGCAAACACGCGTCGCGCGAGCAGGACAAGATCATTTGGATAACGAATGAGTCCTGATCGGAGAGCAGTAAATGGATCACAAGATGGACGATTCAGGAATCGTCCTGTGACCCTTTGATCCAAGCGTCGCGGTCGACAAGTAGTCGACAAGCAACGCGCACGCCTTGGCAAACCGCGCGCCCGCGTAGCCCAGTTGCTATCGCTCTCGTAGTCGATTGTGATAGTCCAAAAGAACGTATAAGTATTACACACAGGAGTAATCGAGCGGCGTCTGTGCAGGCGCGCCGCGGGCTGGTCGAATAGGCTTAGGAGGTACCGGAATAGGGGTCAAGGCCGACCCCCGGGACTGAGCATTTTGACAAGGACAGCCGCCTATCGATCATTATCGTATGGTTTAGGGTTTAGTTTAGGGTTTAAGGGTGATCATATGGGTAAACAGTATAATTATAATGTTCGGACAAATGGCGTCTTCCTACCTACCCTGGAAATGGGGGCATCTTGCACCTGCAAGATGCAAGTGCAATGCAAATTTCGGCAGTTTCGGGGTGTCTTGCGCAAGTCCCCCGCCCCTACACCTCTCTTGTCTGGAAAGATTTTTACAACGCCCCTTTAGAGTCACTCGAGACCGCTGAGTCGTGAGTCGTCAAATATAGCACAAGTAAGCGCTGACGCGTGGTCACCATACGATGTTAAAGACATTGCCTTTAATGCCCGTGACGTGAACAATGTATGTATTGACGAGTCAGGAACCGGAATTACCCCCCCCCCCAAAAGGTATATGGATTCGCATGGAGCTGACTTTCTGGACCCGCGCGCCGGCGCCGTCCGAGCGGTCACTCGATGGCGCATTGTGAGCATTAACGTGCCGTTGGTTCAAACCTCTCGTTTCAACGCTCGCGGTAGCGGTTCGACGACGCGCGGCGCGCGGCAAATTTCGGCAAATTCGAGCAATTTCCGGGCCGCAGAATTTTTTTTTCAAAAATGTATGGGAAAAAGTAGTTTTTGGACGACGGAGAACGCTGTAGACGCTTTCAGACGGCGAGATCGGCAGTGATTGGTGTCGTGACTGTTTACAACGTTCGTGCGGCGTCGAGGTAGGTAGGGTGAAGATGTTGCGCGATTCAACTGCATCGGTCACTAAAGATGCATTCACGATGCCACATGGAGATACGTCAAAAATCGGTCACGCTGCCCCGCACGACAGCTTGCTCGATCGCCTGACGCGGAGTTCTCGAACGCGCGAACTTCTTCCGTCGTTATCGCGAATCTCGCGCGCGCCGTCGACGCTCGAGCGGTCGCACTGTGGAGACCAGTCGATGATTCACATCGCACGCAATCACATCAATTTGCACCTTAACGCGCGTTGCGACGCCGAATCGCGACGAGAATCGCTCAAATTTGGAGAGGAAAGTGAAAAAACGTCGACGAATCGATCCGCGGCGTGAACTCGCGCCGTGTTTTCTAAACCCTAGAAAATAGGGTTTACGGTCAACATTGCTCGCCCCAGCGTCGCGCCTCCTTACGACGCCGCGACGCGCGCGCGCGCGCGATCGGCAGACGAAACCGTTCTCGTTCGCGTCCGCGCTCGCGCTCGCGCCGTCGTCGCGCGCGGGTCCAGAAAATCAGCTCCATAACGCATCGCGACTCGTCGCGTCAACGAGGGGTCTTCGACGGGTCGTGACTCGCGTTTCTCTCGCGTACCCCCTCGCCGGGATTTTAGAGCCCCCAAAAGAGGTCGATTCACGACTCGTCGTGTGCGCCGTGTCAAAATCCATATACCGCGGGAGGGTCACCGACCCTCGAGTTACACTCTTCGGGTATGGTGACAATACATTGTGTCTTTGAGTAGTATCACATCATTACCGGGTGTTTTTACCTTGCGAAAATTCGAATTCCTCTTAATCGTCCAAAAGGAAGCGGTGTTGTGGCCATGTCGACACCGCGGATCGAACGCGGGACCTTTAGATCTTCAGTCTAACGCTCTCCCAACTGAGCTATGTCAACGACTGTCCCGGAACAGTTCCCGAGTAGAGGTCTCCGCTCCCTCGCTGTTCCGAGGCGCGTTTCACACTGAAACAAGAACAATTTTCGCATATTGACTGAAACGTGCGGGTGCCGCCAGCGTTGTTCACTGAGAAAACTAGATGAAAGTCACGAATTACAGTGCTCAAAGCCGGCGAAGGAATAGATTACGAAACGTGGTAGATTAATATAGAATATTACTATCTAAACACCACGCAAGGCAAACCTCTCGTCGAGACACTTTCTAACGCACTTCTTGAAGTTAACGCACTCAGGTTTCTGCGTTGTGTAAGGATCCAAGTTTACTCAGCAACTTATCCCACTGCTTCTGCATCATCTGTGTACCTCACTTTTCTGTACTGCATATCCAGCGCGTCATCGCTGTCAACCCCTGCTATTACAAAGGCAAAATCATAATTTTTGGTTGTTATAGATGATGTAAATTCTGGGTGCACACTCGGAAACCAGCTGTTATCTCCTCCAAGCCCCATATGAAAAGCGTCCAAATGTATATTGATGCTTTGTGCGCGCTGCAGCTCATGTTGATGTACAC